CTCAGACGTGGATCTGTCAAGAGCGGCTGTGAGTGACCTCACTCGTCTGTCTGCATTTACTGTTTCTGCCTCTGATGCAAATCTGAGGAAAGTTAAGAAGGAGTTATGTTATCATCTCTGAAATTATAAAATAGTATTTCTGATTTAGTTAAGGGAGGATGGGTATTTAGGGAGAAAGAAAGAGTTGGGGAATTCTGTAAGAATGTATAAAAAAAACAAGGAAAAAACACTATTGGGTAAATATGAATTTGATTAGTTTACTGCAACATGTTTAGTATAACCCTTCCATATTCTAATGCTGTCTTCAGGTTTGTTTTTATTTTTATTTATTAAAAGTTTGCTATTTCATTTCTCACACACACCAGGTGATGTCACTGTTTGAAATGGATCATGGGGATTAGCTGTCAGAGTTCTTTCATAAAACATAAAGAGTAAAATAAAACAAAAGCAGTTTTAAAACGATACGGTCAAGTCTGCTGATCTCACAGTCAGAGGAATGGAGTTCCAGCATTTTTGGAGTCACTGAAGAAAAAGTGCTGTCTTCTTTTGTTTTCAGGTTCGTGCATGGGACAACCAGCAAATCTTGATCACAGGACAGCAGAGCTCTGCTTGGGTTTTCAAGAATGTAATAATTCAGCGATGCAGTCTGGTTTCTGTCCAAGTAGAGCTCTCCAAATCAAGAGTAGTAATATCTCGAAATGTACTCGTAATGAACTGAGAGCCAAAGAAGCTGCATAAACAGTGGAGTCACATGACAAAATGTTGATGATCTGACCAGAAGCAGCATTTCATACAGACTGTGGTTGCTGAGACGTGTGTAATGCATATGGCAATAATTAAGGATTGATAAAAGGACGAAGTTTAACAATGTTTTGTTAATGATGGAAACCAGAAGGAACCAGAGATCTCACCTGATCTCAAGGCTTAATACAGCAGAGGTCATGTCACCAAACGTCCAAGGAAGCTGCTTTATCTTCTAAGTCTCTCTTTCAGGTGCAAAGAAGATGACTTCAGTTTTTTCTTCATTTAAATGAAGAAAACTTTTGGTATTTCAGCCTTTAATTCAGGCATTTTAACAAAATGCAGCTTCAAAAATTTATTTTGTAAAAAAAAGAAATATACATCTGTACACTGACGCTCCACTGCTACAGACCAAGTGTAATCATCACATAGATTCATATATTTTATAAACTGCAAATACTTTTATGCACCAGGAGTTTTTTTTCCTGTTTTATTCTGATCAGAGTCTAAAGAGTCAATACGATCAGCCTAGATATCCTCCATGAGGAGCTCAAAGTGCTGGCCTCCACTCCACCAACTTCCTGACCGAATGATTTCTTTTTTTTTTTGCATTTCAGAACTGTAATAAAATGTTCAATGCTGGTATAAATACTTCTGTTTGAATCATTGGAAGTGCCTTCACCTCTCCTGTGCTTGAACTCTGGCCTTTTCCTCCTCTTTCAATTTTCTTTCCAACTTTTGAATTTGTTCCTGTGTTTCCTGTGTGGAAGATGAAGATGTTTATAAGACGACCAGGTTTTGCAAGTAACAATATTTAATCATGAAAAAACAAAGCCTTTTGAATTACCTGGATTACTTTGCCTCTTTCTCTAGAAATTTCCAACAGTTTGCCTTTTCCTCTGGTTAAAGTCGTTATGGTTTCTGTCATTTCTATTTCCTTTAGCTTGTGTTCTTCTTTGGCTTCTGCAAGTTTATGCTTCAAATCTACTTGTGGAAAAACCTTGTGTGTTTAGAATTATGTTGCTTTTAATTTAAAAATGAAAATGATTATCCACCTTGCCTACCGTTACAGCTCTCCAAAGCTTCTTTGTGCTTTCGTTGTGCATCAATCAACTGTTTCAGTAGCGACTCCTCCTTGGCTTGATGTTGGACTTCTTTTTCTCTGAGTTTTGATTCATATCCAGCTAATATCTCCCTTTAGATTAAAGGAAATGTACATATTAAGGATTACACTAAGAATGTGTTTTTAAATAGTAATCCGCCAGGTATTTATGAAAAATCTGTTTTCTTTCCAAAATAATTGTTATACAAATAATTCTGTTTGTTTAGCTTTAGTGTAGTGCAGGTAAAGAGAATAAAGCATCTTCAATATTTCCTACTCCATTAAATAAAAACAGCACATGTTGCCATTCTGACAGGAAGTAGTTCTTCAATATTTTTTATGAACATGGTACAATAGACATTTTTTCTTTTAAATCACCTGCTTTTCTTTTCATTAAGTGCACATTTCTCTCTCAATAGCTTGTTTTCTTGCACAAGCTTTTCAACCAGCGCCTCTTTATCCTGAAGCTTCTTTGAAAAGAGAGAATCATTTTCCAACTGCAGTCGCCTGTTTTCCACTTGCAGCTTAGCATTTTGATTTTTGTGCTCCTTCATGAAAGAAATGATTCCCTGATTGTTGTCAGCCAGATAAGTGAATCTAGTTGCTAATATCTCGGATTTCTTTCTTTCATTAGCTAGTTCTTTCTGGCTTTGGGCTACTTGGTCTTCAAGGTCAGAGTTCAGTTTCTGCAGGGCTTGGTAGCGCAGAAGTATTTCATCTGCTCTTTTCTTCAGTATGCAGGTCAAAGTAGATTGTTCATCTATCCTGGACTGTAACATCAGTTCCCCTCCTAAGTCTTTGGCAGCGAGGGTTTGTGGACTCTCATTTGGTGATTGAATATTTTCTTCATGCTGTGAACAAATGGAAGAACTGCTGAATTATAAACACGTTAACTCGTTTTCAAAAGAAATGCAGAAATAGGCAACTGAGATCTTTGTTTTTGTATGAAAAATAGCTTAAACTCATTTTGATTTAATTTGAATTTAACTATAAAGATATTTTTTTGGATCTTGCAACATGTTCTCAGTTAAATATTACACAGAACTTTGGCTTTGGTATTTTAACACATGTACTACAATATCATTTGAGTTATTACATGTATGGTTAGTGTGATTGTCCTAATGGAAATAAACAACATACACAGTCTCATGTTGTCTGCAGCCTTTAACAGCATTTACCGTATTACCGGATTGACCTTTACTTTGCTCATTCAATTAACAACAGTTTTCCTGTGGATGAAGAATACAAGCATCCCTACAGGATGATACTCCCACCACCGTGTTATACCATGTCGATGGGTTCAGTCTGTGGCACACTTTTTGCTTTATAAACATAAGAAGGTGCCTTTAGTTGACTTCTAAAGACAGCTGGCTGTACCTGATTGCAGAGCAGAAAAGGTGCATCACAGGTTTACACAGGCAGAAGAAAAAAAGTTAGGAAATTCCAATCTAAATAATAATAAATGAAACATCTTAGGATGCAGTTGCAAATGCACTGTTTGCCTTTGTAAGTACAATAGGCTACAATGGAAAGCAGATTAACCAAATCATAAGTTTAAATAGCAATGATAAAAAAAATAATTAAATTATTCATATATATATATATATATATATATATATATATATATATATATATATATATATATATATATATATATATATATATATATATATATATATATATATATACATAAGATAGTGTTCGAAATTGAATTGAATTTAACGATATTTACAAGTATAGTTATACACAGTTAGGTAAAGTTGTTAAATATCTCATAATCTTAAAAAGATAATTTGACGTCATAAATCAGACAGAAGATAATCGTAGATAGGTGCAGATGTCTAGTTACTAAAGGTTAAAACAACCCAATAAAACTTAGCATTTAAGTTTCAAAGTTTTATTCTTTTTACGTACCTCCATCTCTGTTTCTCATCCTCTTATAATGCGGTTGGTATTTCTCAGTGCTCAATGATGTGTCAACAAATCCATTATCTATCTGCTATGTCATTTTCTTGTATTTTAAGTTGTTCCGTTGCTAATGGCAACCGTTTCCCCCCCATTCTTTGGCACCGCCTGGTGAGGACGCACATTCTGACACAGACACAACAGTTTCAAACGAAGCTTAGAAAACCGGATAACCACAAATACTGCCATCTATCGACAGAATCGAGGTTGCCACAATTTTTTTTGAACAAAACTGTCTCTCAAAACAAGTGTAAGCAGAAATAAATCCATCACTGTTCCTAAAAACCAATAGGAATCTTTAGAGGTCCCGGACCTTCCTAATAAGACTATCAAATATACCTTTATAATTCATTCTGTTCTCTTACCTTTTCAAACTATTAGATAGTTTTCATTCTTACAGGCTATTTCAAACAATATCCTTCTAATTTTAATTTGATACATAGCTTCCACTGTGGACATCATATTGTATAAATTTTATATTTTAACGGTTATCCTTTTCAATACAGATCTCTGTAATTAATAAAAAAAAAAGTAAAACCAGTCAATTATAGGCACTTGATTAGCTTATTTTTTTCCTTTTTCTTGTTAACAAAAAAATGACTTTAAAAATAGTATCTCGTGAGAGCAGGGCTAAAAATATTTTGAGTGTAAATTTTCCACCGTTGTAAATAAGTTTAGGCTTTACGACCAATATTTTGTTGGCCTCACTGTTTTCTACCACAAGATGGCGCCATTGAGCTTTTTAAAAATCCCCAACACTGGTTGGTTTCTCTCAAACTTTCATCCATTGGAATTTGGTCGCATTGATTTGATGTTACATTAATAAATATTGATTTTTGTAATTAATTATTAGAGTAAGCGTTAATTTTGATGTAAAAAATGTATTGGTTTTATTTATCCTCTCTTTAAATGATGTGATCATTCCAGCTCCCCCAGCATGAATATAAAAACCCCGTTAGTTCCCAAGCTTGGGGTAGATTTATAACAACAGCGACGACCCGCTGAGAGTGTAAAATCACTGGCTCTGAGGACAGCTCGGACCTGCGAGGCATTATACAGCTTCCAAGGCCCACAGGGATTTATCCGGTGGGCCGAGGGCTGGGCTGGAGCTGGGAGGGAGAGGAGGAGGGGACGGTGATCCTGGCCCTTTGTGCACGCCCCTTTTCATCAACTAGCGGGCCCCGGGAGACACAGAGGAACTCTACAGCATCCCAGTCCCTGAAGCTCCTCCATCTGCAGCGCGGAGCTGGAAGGGCCAGAATGTGGAGAGCACCGCTGCTTCAAACCTTTTTCCTCTTCTTATTTTCTGTTAGATGGTGCCATGCTGAAGGTAGGCCTTCCAATCTTTTATTCCTCCTACTTTTAGTCTGTGTGCAATGTGCATGTGTGCAGCTGAGTGATTCTCTGAGGAGCTGCAGTTACATGTGACTCACCCTGTGCACTTGTTGCTCATCAGTACAAAGAACAGGAATTCAAGCTGATCAGTTGCCCAACCAAGTATATATATATATATATATATATATATATATATATATATATATATATATATATATATATATATATATATATATATATATATATATATATATATATATATATATATATATATATATACTTTTTTTGTTTAGAGTAAAACTCTTCTAGTTGTAGTATAAAGGTTGAACACAAAGCCTCTCTCAGGGAGATTGAGGAACTTTTGCCTGGGCTTTACTGTTGCTAGGTAGCAGAATAGAGCATGTGACTTAAAGACAATCTGAGGACTGAGAAGCTGCTGGTACAAATCTCTTAATAGTGCAGATTTCCCCTCTGGTCACCTACATTTTGTCCAACAATCTCTACATCTATAAAGTGAGAAAGTACTTAGAAGCAACTTTTTGACAGCCCCCATACTTGTGCATGTTGTGTTTGCAGCACAGCTAGATCCTGCTTCTCAGGTTGTAATCTGCTTTCTTTTTGCTCAACCCTTAGTATGTAAGCTCCTTAGTGTGAATCAAGCAACTAATTACTCTGCAGCTGCTGCAAACTGGAATCATTTCTACAGAGGGAACAGCTCAGAGTTGAGAAGGGTCATTTGTACGACTTGTTTTAATGAAATAACCCATTTTATTTCCTCATAAACATAAAAGAATATGTCAAATGTAAAGAGAAATCTATGCTGGCAGTACTTCCCCTTGTATTTCCTTTGAAAACGGGCAGTTGCTGAACTTGTAAATGGCATTTTTGCTGATGGCAGCTGAAGTTTATAAACGATGACTGAGGTAGAAATAACTGAATATCATTTAGCTTTGTCAGCATGTTCATGGTGATAATTAACTTTAAATTTATTGTAAATGATGAACCGGAGTGTCCCCTAAAGAGCATAACTAGTGTACCCTGGTCAACAAAATGGTGCTTTAACTCAAAGAATTTTTTGTTATTACCTTGTTATACCAGGTATTGTTAGACATACATCTGAAACAAGCAGAATTTTTGGCACTAAATTAGACAAAGTTTTTCCCAATTTTAGGTCATGAAATCCCAGCATAATAAGAGAAAGAATTAATGTATTTATATGGAAAGCGTTTCTTTGAAACTGCTTGACTTGAATATTTTTGGAAGTTTTTTTCCTTTCTACTGTCACCACATGCATGCTTAGTATAACGGTTTACTGCAAACTTAACAACTTGGTGCAATCGACTGTCCTGTGTTGCATTAGCCTTGTTTAAAAGGAGGGATAGCAACCACCCCATGAATCGGCATAGATCTATTAAATAGAGAATCTTATCAGTGAAGGCCTGATAAACGTAATTTGAGCGCGATGTTCTATAACTATCAAACTGGAATCTGTGTAACTGGCTTTAAATTGGTGAACATGATTGGATTCAGTTCACTGTATTTTCTCTGTGTGAATGTTAAAAACTAATTTGAATTCAGAGTCAGCTCAAACTAGGGATCTCCCAATCTGACATTGATGTATAGATAGAAACACCACTTTGATCCCCTTCTGTTCCAATACAGGTAGCTGTACCTGTTGTTGTAGACTATTGTTCTCTGTTTGAGTAACGCCCACCCTTTTCACATACTAGTCACAGTAATCTGCTGAAATTTTGGCCCATTCCCCCTGACAGACTTGGTTTTGCATGATCCAGGATTGTAAGCCACCTCACGCACACACCTTTTAAGTTCTGCCTAATTAAGCATTGATGACTTCTTCCTTACAGAGTGGCCATGTCAACACAGGAGAAATTTCACTCTACATAATGACACTCTCCTTCTAGCTTTAGCCAGAATCTTAACAGCACCCTCATTATTTGTTCTGGGGTTGCATGTTTGAGAGTTATATTTTGGTTGAAAAATTCCCAACCTACCAGGGTCATTGATGTTTGAACATATGATCCATAAGGCATCTAAAAATTAAACCCAAGGATGTCTCAGACCTGTAGATTAACAGCTGTCTTCCCAACATCATGAAATATTTCTTTTTTATGTTCAATTTGATCAAACAAGACGGCAGTAACTTTTATGTGTTGCCTTAGACTGAGATTTCACTAAAATGTTATGAATTAACAGCTGTAAAGCTGGGAATTGTATTTTGATACTGTATAATAAAACACATATTAGAATTAAGCCATCCTGTTCTGAGATCATTCTTTCTTTTTTAATCAATATGATGCTCCCTTTTTCCTCATTGTTTTCATCTTTACCAGAGGTATCCACCTCCCACTGTCATGCAGAGTTTGAATTTATAATAATTGAATTGAGGTTACCAACAAAAATTACATCCATGCAATCCATTACATTTGTACTATTGGAGAAATCAATATTGCAAATATGATTACAGTTTAAAAGAATATCGAGCAATAGAAAGAACTTAACTGAAGATTTTTATTGCCGCATCATCATCTTCTATTTGTTAATCTTGCAGTATAAAAATAAAGTAAAAAAATCAATAAAAAATGTTTTATTCAGACAAAAAATAGCTAATTCTAATTTAATGTGAGAAAGCAATAAAGATGTGTGTTTTTTATAAAGTGTATGTAAATATGTGGTGACAGCTTTGGGTATATAAGATGAGTCGGATTAAATAAACATGTGCTCCTTCCTGCTGTTTTACTACAAGGGGAGGAGGGTACTTTCTCTAATCTCTGCTTGATCCTCTACAGAAATCCCTTATTTTGATAATCGTTCCTGCTCTTGTACCTTCTGGAGCCTGTTATCCTGGCTGTGAGATTGATACTGCTGCTTAATGCTTACGCCGACCTTAATGGCTAATGTGACAGTCTTAAAAGAGATTTCACGCTGCTGGGTTTTTAACCACCCTCTCGTGGTTTTGTTGCTCTTCACATGTTTGGTTTGTAAATGAATTGTTTTTCTTTGCTGATCATTTGCTAGTAAGGTCCCTAAAGCTCCTCCAAAGTGCACCGTAAGAGCATTTTTCTGCATTCATGTGGAAAAATGATAGACCGTGCAACATAATGGTCAGATTTTGCGGTTAAATGTTATAGAACTGCAAGTTAGAGTTTGTCTTCTGCTACTCAGTGTTTTCCTTTGCATTTAAACTCATCCTGGTGTGGCTCATGCATTAATAAAACCCTAGACATGGAGACTTCTTTCCAGTGTGAAAGACTAAAACATTGTGCAACAGAAACATTTTATTAGAAACTGGAATAAATCTCTTCCCACCAACCCTTGTCCACGTTAGTTCAACTTCTAATGCACTTCTGGTTAGCTGTTACTCACTGTCAACAACACCAAAAAGAAGTTGTACAGTTCTTCCTAGTATTGTCGATATTTTGACAACGTAATTCCTGTTGTTTTTATCCTGAGCATTCCTCAGTTCAGACCAAGCCTTGCCTCTATTCTTCTATTTATGCCTCCCTCTTGCTTCCAAGCCCATAGGTTTTTTTTTAACCTGTTTTTGAGTGTACTACTGAGAGCCAAAGTCACTTGTTTGGCATTTGATGGCATTCTGCTGCATCGATTTCCATATGAAACAGGCAGCAGCACTTCGCTTTGACAGCATGGACGGGTCCTGCGTCTACGCTGCCAGCAGCCGTCCTCTTAACTTTTCTACACACATTCAGTCCGAGGTGACGGCTGTGCCTAAACAGGACGGCATTGATTAAAGCTCAAAAACATCTTTTAATTCCCCAATATATGCCTAGAAATGTTTCTTGCACACCAGACCTCTGCTACATTTATGTTTTACCTTAATTATTTGTTCCTTCAAAATTCTGCTGTTGACCTGCAAAACAGTTTTTTTTTTTACTTGAATGGCCTTTGCAATAATAACTCTCCGTCTCATTTGGCACCTTGTTTTACCCCATTGTAATTTCCCCAGAGGGGTCTTGGAGAATTTGGGTAGCTTCATTCTAATGCATGTCTTTGTCGGCCGATTGTAGGAAGTTCTTATCTTCCCTTACAGATTGTGATCTCTCCTGCTGTGCATTTAAGTTGGTAATTAAGGGAAAGGAAAACAGTAAATTAACCAAAAAAAGACCTAGCTTCAAATCATTAACAGTCAGATCAAGAATAAAAAGATTTGCACTTTAGCTTCAACAATATTTATTCACATAAATATTGTTTTAGGTCAGTAGCATTTCTATAACTCCATCCTTTGCTATACTAACTGAGTCAAAGAGAGCCACTTGCAGCTCTGGAAACCTCAGATCCAGCAGATAAAAACGGTGTTTCTAACTCAATATGAGTGAAGCTAAAAGTGCCACAAAATAATTTTTAAATAAAATTGTAAAAAAAAAGTGTTATTTAAATCACTATAAGGGACCTATCAGCTGTGTTTTTTTTTGTGCGCACATAATCTTTTTATCATAAATATACCGGTATATTGTTTTTGTCTTATATAAGGGACATAACAGGGGCCAGGAACACTTCAACTGGGGCATTGGCCCCTGTTAGCCCCCCGTCTAGAACCACCCATCTAACAGGTTTGAATATTAATTTGAATATTAAGAAAAAAGGTCTAAAGTACAAATGCACTGGTTGATGACTCATGATCCCAATTAGACAATTTTAGATTAATGAATCATTGTTATGAAACTTAAAGACAAACATTGTTTCCTGTAAATGTATCCAGACAAAAATAAAAACTCCTGTAAAATGAGCTCTAAACATATCGGAATAAGATAAAGCCAAGGAACAAATGCTTGATGCGTTTGCATTGCATTTAGAAAGTTTAGACATGCTTATAAATAATCAGCAGTACTTAATATCAAATTTTATATCTATTTAAATATATAGAAAAATAAAATTGAAATGACTATAATCAGAATCTGGGGAATGTATAACGGGGAATATTGCAATGAGCCAGAAAAGGCCTGACAGGTGCATGTTTACAAAGGAAGCTGAAACAGTGACTTTTAAAGTTTCAGCTTCCATGTGTTGAATGTGCCACCTTTTGTAGAGGTAATGGTGTGAGGAAACACTGTCTGTATTGAATTGTTTCCAGCAGATTAGTTTCCCCTTGGCATAGCTGCCAGCCTGGGTCTGCATGTATGGCATCTACACACATCTACACACTGCTTCATATGTTCATTTACATTACTTTCGATATAGCTTTTTTTTTTCTTAGATGCTTTTTTAATATCATGTTTTTTTCATATAACTACCCTTTAAAAATTAGCTTTTTATTCAGTAGAAAATATCTCTTGCCTTAGCCAATTTTCATTAAACCCTAGACTACTTGGAAATTTTGGATTAAAGTTGAAACAACAGCCGCAGGAAGCCGCCTATAAGTGTTAAAATGTGGCTAAAAGGAGGTTCAGATTGACTGAGTTAGATTTATTTCAAAGTCTTTATCAAGGGTATATTTAGATGAGACACTGACACAAACTGATTTAGCATATAGTTCTAAAGCAGAAGTCAATGGATGCTTAAGGTCTGGAGGGTTGATGCCAGGGTAAATATCTGATTCCTGAACTGAATGCAGCTTTTTGCTCATTTTACCTGCTTTGATGCTTTTGACGATGCCGAAGCTTCAGGGATCGCTGCCTTGAAACAAGCTTCCCTTTGAAAGCGATCCGAGCAGTTTTATCATTATTGAACCGAGCAGGAGAGGATAATCAATCCAATGAGTTAAATATGCCGCTTATTTTGCTGAGTTTTTTTTTTTTTTTTATAAGAGCAGTTAAGTGTGACGCTGGTTAGGGTGAGCAGAGAAAAAGGCATGCACGTGTTTTACTAGCTTGTAGAGGAGTTTATCTCTCTTCACAGCAATTATACCTGGAATCATCAACTTAGACTTTCAGGAATAAAATACTATTGCAGCTTCACGTATCTTCTTTAATTTATTTAAAATTATGATCCTGATATTTAGCTAATTTAATAGTCAATGTAAACAAAATAAATACATAGATTTCCCTTAATAAATTAAAAACTATTGTCTCTTAGCCTATACATATATATTGCTCCTGCAGAGAATGTGTGTTGGAATGGCTCTGGTACCACCCAGTACCACTATTTACTCTAATTACATCTCAGAACGGACAGGGGCAGCACGCTATATATCAAGATGTCAAAGAGACCATCAAAATTGCACATTCCTCTTTGATTGGGCCTGATGGAGTGCTCTGTCTCTGAACTGTGCCGCCTGAATCAATCTCTCCTGGAAAACATCAGGGAAGCTAGAGCGGTGGTACCTTATCTCAGCAGATGCCACTCTCTGGGAACATCAAAAGAAAGTTGAAGATGAGTGAAGTGAGGTTAGTAGAAGTGTCTGGGGATGGCTGGCACGCTTGTCTCCGAGGTTTGTCGCTGCTGTTAACAGCATACTTAATCAGGGGAAAGCTTCACCTCCTCCCTATATGCGCTTAGACTTAGGAAAAACATCTATTTTTTTCAAGAAGATCATTTATTGATGTAACCAAGTTTAATTAATGCAGGAAAGTAACAGAAATGTAAAGAATCTGTATCTGTGTGCAGGATGTGAATTGGGGCAGTTTCGGTGTGGGACGGGTCGATGTATACCTGGTGAATGGCACTGTGACGGAGCGTCAGATTGCAGCGATGACTCCGATGAACACGACTGCCGTAAGTTAAAGCATACAGTATCTCCATAATATGTGTGGAGAGGATCGAAACATGTAGCTACAAGGCAACTTAGCCATGTTACACCTAAGAGCTTGTTCTATTTCCTCAGATACAAATGTTGTTGAGTGCTACTTCTTATTAGGCTCAAAATCTGGGTGTAGTGATGGACTCAGACCTGAACCTTCAGAGGCATATAGAGACAATTATCATGGAAGAATATTTCCAGGATTAAAAAAGCAATGTCCCAATAAGATCTTAAAGAAGTTATTCAGTCAAAAAGTTAATCAGACAGTGGAATTTGATTCAGAAAGCTGCAGCCAGCATCCTCACTAAGTGGAGCACATCACCCCATTTCTAAAGTCCTTCTACTGGCTCCCACTATTATCTGAATCTCAGATAATAGACTTTAAAATACCTCTGTTAGTCTGTAAATCGGCTAAATATTACAGACTTGTTGTCAGAGGATCATCCATCCAGACCTCCCAAGTCTTCTAGATTAAGTCTGCTCTGTACACCAAGAACCAAACATGACGAAACACTTTAGTTCTTTTGCTCCACTGATCTGGAATGAATCCTCAGACTATTGTTAAATTGCTGAAACCCTAAATTGCTTTAAATCTAGATCAATAACCAGTTTATTTATAGTTTCTTTATGTTCTTTGTTTCGGTTTGTAGCTACGCTTTACTTTTCTTTATTATTTTTTAGTGCAGATTACCTTTTTATGTGTTTTTGTTTCTTATATTTCAATAATGTAAAGCACTTCTGGCATTTCCTGTTGCTGGAATGCACAAATACACAGGCTTCACTCTGATATCTACTTATATGTCTCACTCTGCGGGGGTGAATAATGATGTGTTTGTGTGTGTATTCTGACAGCTCAGGTAACATGTGATGACAGTCATTTCCAGTGCCTGAGTGACGGCGAGTGCATCCCCATTGTATGGCTGTGTGATAATGAGGAGGACTGTGAGGACAGCTCCGATGAGAGGCACTGCCGTGAGTACACTTCAGATCAACAGCAACTTTTGCATAGTTTCTCTCCAAAGATTGTCATTTACCATCCATTATTTGCTATAGATTCAGAATGCAGGCTTTGCTTTTTTCTATTTATTAGGATTTTTTATTTGAAATATTGCACATTTTGCACTGAAAGGAAAGTATTACATGGTTTATAAAACAATTTTAGTGAGAGGGATTGCCTCCAGATGCCACCTGATGAGGTAACAGAAATATCTCAGAGGTTTGTTAAAGAACATACTGTATGATGTCATTTATCGGAACATGTGAAGAAATATCTTCAGTAAGACAAAAGGACACACCAGGTCACCAAGACAAGCAGACAGAAAGCTGTGGAGAAGTGAAAAGCTGAGTGACGTTCTTATACAACTGCATTTCAAGTTTAAACCTCTCCCAGAACAATGTTCAATCTTCAAACCTACAAAAACATGGCATCTGCTGAAACTGTCAGGAGCTGCAAAGATCTACTGCTCTAGTGGGAGAACCTGCTGACTGAAAAACTATTTATGGTGACGTCGTAGATAGGGCCTTAATGAGAAAGTGGCAAGAAGGAAATCTTTCATCTTCCATCTTGGAAAGGCTGCACCATTATTGCTTTGAAACAAGTACTGTCATTCTGGGTCCTTGACAAGATCCTTAGCCCTCAAATGTTCGGAAGACATGGCATAAGTACTTCCAAAAACAGAAAGAGGGACACTTGAGAAGAACAATAAGAAGAACTAATTAAGAGTGTGAACCTGAAGAGCAAACATTTTCAAAATGTCTTGTGGAGCTATTTGGAAAGAGGTGCAGGCGTACAACTAAAACTGAATTCCTTAGCAGCAACAGAAACCCCATGAGATGGACTTTCTTCTAGGTGCATTTTTATTAGAGGCGTCCCAATCCGATAAAGGTATCAGATATGAGTCTGAAATTAAGCAAAAAGCTACCATCAGATTGTATCGGCCTGCATCTAAATGTCCGATATTGGCTTGCAGATAGAAAAACTCTGGGTGTGTTTAAAGTTTCTCTAACCCATTGGCTATTATTACATGGGTTTGTCCTTTTCATACCTTTTTTTGTTGACTATTGTAGATTGTTAGTAATATTAGTTGATCAAATATTTTCTAACTTTCTACAGCCCAAAATACGTAATAAAAGCATGTTTGATTCAGGCTAATATTGTTTCGGGTCAACTTGTTCTATACTTCAAGCTATAATATTTGAATTGTATCTAAAATGAAAAAAAAAGTTTTTTATCTTATGGATCAGTAAAACAGAAACAATCTGTTGCAAACTGCATGACGTTGCTTGGGTCATTCTCCAGATCTCTGTGTGAAACCAAACCGGGCAAATAAAGGTGAGAATTTTGAAAAAGTGAAAGAGATTCAGGTTTGAAAGAGGTTGACATTCATGGCTGCATTGGAATGGTCCACAGAAGTCCAGAACCACACCACAAAAGTCCATCACATCAGTACTTTGCAAAAGTACAAAATATTGGCATAAATTTTGGTCTCTGGATGAATTAAGCTGGAGGTAACTTACTCCAAAAGACTGATGTAATTGTTTTGAAAGGTTGCAGTAATCTTTATAATCACCTGGGGGTGAATACAAATGCATCCTGCATGTTTCGGATTTGATTTAAACAACAGAATTATTTACCTTTCCACTTCACCACTCAATAGAATTTTGTTTGGTCAGTCTGATAAAATCCCATTAATATCAAAAGAGGTTTGTAATTGCAGAATATTGAAGTTCAAAAGGTCTTGTTATCTTGTTCCAAAGTATTGTAAGCTATAAAGCTGTTGTTTTATTAAATATTTCTTTAATTGCATCTCAGCTGGGAGGACATGCACCAGTGGCCAGTTCAGCTGCAGCAACGGCGCGTGCATCCCAGGAGAATACCATTGCGACCACCTGGCAGACTGCTTAGATGGATCTGATGAGACCAACTGCAGTAAGTCTTCTTCTCGATGGATTTTTTTCCTTCTTCTTTTTATCTTGGGCTCCTGTGGCATTTTAATCAATTTGTTAAGATTAAGAGGCTCGCTGACTGACACAAGGGGCCACAATATGCTTCTTGTTGTCAGAGGTTGATTGCAGATTCCTTGGTGGATTAGTCAAGCTGAAGTTCAGCTGCTATGCCATTATTGTGCCGACATGCTAGTCCCATAGCAAAACGAACTGTGGTAATCTCGCAATTGTACAAAGAATGCTGTGGCAACCACCGTTGTTATGGTAGTGCTTTTGATTTTTAGTCTGTTATCCTTCCCATTCATAAGGTTTTTCACGTGTTAAGAGCTATAAAGGGGTCATTTTGTAACGTCTATTTCCATGCATAACACTGGCCTGATGATGATTTAATCTTGCAGATTACCCTCGGTGTACAGAGATGAGGTGTGCCAATGGGGCCTGCTATAACCGAACTCAAAGATGTGACCATATACTTGACTGCCGTGACGGCTCTGATGAGGCAAACTGCAGTAAGCCATCTATTTTATAATAAATTCAAAAGGTGAAACATGGATGAAGGAATAGCAATGGAGCTTTTGATTGTTGTGTTCTGTTTTTCATAGCACAGCACTGCAATACAGGCTTCCACCAATGCAATAATGGGCTATGTGTTCCTCAACGCTACGTCTGTGACCATGACGATGACTGTGGAGACCGGAGTGATGAGTTAAACTGCAGTATGTAGAACCTGTCTCTACAGTCTGTTTTTCCTTCAATCAACAATGTTAATTTCGACCTTTTAGCTTGGATAAATACACATTAGTTTGGCTTTTTGTCCTTCAGCGTATCCTGCTTGCAGAGGAAATTACTTCACTTGTCCCAGCGGTCGCTGTATCCACCAGGTCTGGCTTTGTGATGGAGAGGATGACTGTGAGGACAATGCTGATGAAAAAGGCTGTGGTATGTATACAGTAGCTGGAATTTTAATCCAATATAATAAATTAGTCATTTTTGGAGGCAGCGGATGTGGATATTTAGCAGGTTAAACAGCCCTAAAACAGGCAGGAACTGAGGCCACAGAAACCTGATTCATCTTTGGTCTCCATGGTTGGTTTGGTTTGTCAAGACGCTATGCCTGCACTCCTTTAAGTGTGTTATTCAAATGCCTCTTTGTGGCACAAGATTGCGCAGCCCCCCGAGGAGGCTTTAGAATCCCCCCACATGGCTGTGAAGAGTGTATGTTTTTAAAGGAAGGGCTGCAGAAGCCCCCTGAGCCCCCTGCGTACCCCCACAGCTCCTTAGTCACAATTTTCTTTAGATCAGGATTCCTGTGGAGACATTTCAGCATGGTTTCGAGAGTTGCTCTCATTTTGCAGCACATCTAAAACCTTCTAGTTTCATTTTGTCTGATGTTTGGTATATTCTTTTATTATGTAATAAATTATGTTATGAACCATTTTACATTATATTTTATTTTGTGTAAAAATTTGGATGGTTCTAAATAATGCAATCAACTATTATATTTTCAAACAATGTTACTGTACATTTTATTCATAAAGTTTGTACTTTATAGTTATAGAAACAATGAATATTAGCAACAATATTATTATTTTCTCTTTTTTTTCCAATTTTGTCGAATTTGAGCGTAACCTTGGGTTCAGGCCTACTCAATAGTGTTTCCTCAATAGGCCTCCTTTCAATTTTATTTATCTGGTTTATTTTTGACATTTATGTGTTATTTTTGTTCTTTTTTATATATTTTTTTTTACATTTCTTATCTATTTGTTTGTATTTTATTTTAAAATGACTGTTTTCCTCTGCAGACAACTTGTTATTACAGTTCAAAAATAAAGGTGAGTTGTGTATTTTCTTGTTAGATAATGTTCCACGGGAGTGTTACCCAGGGGAGTGGCCCTGTCCATCCTCTGGGCTGTGCATCCCCATGGAGAAGCTGTGTGATGGGCAGGCTGACTGCCCTGATGGAGAGGATGAAACTAACACCACTGCTGGACACAACTGCAGTTAGTACACACAGAGTTTTTGTTGCTTTCTGCCAATTTGTCATTATGAACACTGATAAATAGTTTGATTTATCCGTTGTTCAGGCATCTTGAGGTGTGCTACTTTGAGCTGTGAGCATCACTGCCACCCATCCCCCAATGGAGGAGCATGTTCCTGTCCATCCGGCTACATTGTCAGCAGCAATGACAGTCGTTCCTGTATAGGTATTTACATCTTTACCCTTAAAGTTAATAATCAGTAGGTTGGCTATTAGCCTCACTCTCATCACGTCTGAAGACCCACAGGATAGGGGGAAGAAGAAATAAGAGATAATAGGATAAAGTCATCATCTAATGCTGGTGAAGATTCTCAGTCATCCAGGTTATAGTTATTTAAAATAAAAGTAAAAAAAAAAAAAAAACAATCCACTGGACTTCGTTTCATAGTTTGAAGACGTTTCGCTTCGCATCCAGGAAGCTTTTTCAATCCAAACTCATTTCTGAAAAACCTTCCTGGATGGGAAGCAAAATGTATTCAAACTCAGAAACAAAGTCCAGTGGATTGATTTTTAACTTTTGTTGAGTCATCATCTAATCTGCATTACAAAGAGAAATGGACAAATTGTCTCCAAGATTTACAAAGCCGGTAAAGACACCCAGCTATTATCACAACATGGGGTCATTATGTAAAGCAAATGAGGATGATTTCAAACCACCAGCTTCAGATTTGAATCAAAGTAAAATAAAAATATGATTTTTTTTCCTTCTCTGAGTTATCAGACATTTGAGATATTGATAAAACTTGTAGCACTAAAAAGGCTATATATGGAAATGTTTAAAGGAGCAAGAAGTGCATTTTCACCATTAGAGGTGCACGTTGAGCACTCTGTGTGCAGACCAAAACAAAGGTACATTCTAATACAACTTTCTATCAAGCTCAATAATATGCCACACCAGGTCATTTGATTAGAATAATAATATAATTCATCCCATTAAATTCAGACTGTAAAAATTGTGTTGTTTAGTTTTCATTAATTTTGTATACAGTGTGGGATCTATTGTTTTCCTTGCCGTGTCATTTTTATTGAAAATAAAAGAGACAATATGCTCAAGTTGCTGTCAGTGTAAGGGTCGGCATAACTACAAGGAGTAGACAAGGCAGGGACAACTACCAGGTGATACTACTGACTGGAATAAAAAATCTAGTACCAGTTACCTGTTTTAGCTTTAGATTATTTGTTAAAGAGAGAATGCCCTGATTGTACGTGATGATCATGTACAGTAGTGTCCATTGCTGGTCTAACTCCTACAATTTACCCACAATAATAGTATTACATTGAACTGAGTCAACATGGCAAAACAAGTCTAATAAGTATCTATAGCACCAACAAAAGCTATGATTTGACTTCATGCTGTTCCTCATCAGTCCAGGAGGAGAGAAACTAGCTCTGAGTCAAACTGGAGCTGCATCTGCTTTAGAACTGCTCTCCACCTTGGAATCACAAGGCCAATTTTAATCCTCGTTTAATCACTTTTCTTATATGGAAACATCAATAATGGGTGCTGATTGTCTTCAGGATGCTCAGGATGAATGCTGTGACCCACTGGAAGCACTGTGTGTCATTTTGCTGCTATTCTGCGCTAGTAAGCCCTGAGTGGCAGCTGTTAAAATACACATATTGTTGAAATACACATATATTCACATATACATGTATGCGACTGGCCTGGTTATTTAAACAAGAGACTGAAGTTAACATTTTGTTAATTGCTCCTGGGTACGTTTACAAGCACTGTTAGATTGAGCACATTTCTATATAAATTTGTAGTTGCCTGTGTGCCTGTTTAGTTTTGCGTTGGCCTCGGTTTTGATCCTGTTTTTTAATTTTTTTATTCCATCACATTGAAGACTTTGACGACTGCTCCATGTGGGGCGTCTGTGACCAGCTGTGTGAGGACCGCATAGGATCCCATCGCTGCAGCTGTCGGGAGGGCTATACTCTGGAGCAACATCGCTACTGCAGAGCAGACGTATCTAGTGAGTGGCTCTTTCACAACTTGTTTATTATATCTTTTAAGTGGTTTATGACTATGTGTGTGATAATACTAAATAAAGTGCATTAGAGTAGTCCGTACTATACCTTTTTTTATCTGCTAAAAATGTATCTAGATTCATTGAGTCCATTTGCTTCTTTAAGTATAGAAAGTGTTTTTACTAAAGCAGTGACCTCTAATTAAGTATTGGTAAAAATCATTATAGTGATAGTAAGAGAAACGTCTCTCCTGTGTTGTCAGGAATCTGCTTTAGGAACAAAAATCTGATGTTTCAATAAGATAATTTTAATAAGAACGTATGTTAAGGTTTTCTTCTAATGCACTTTTTCTTCATTTCAGCTGGAGTTCCTTTCCTAGTTTTTTCTAACGGCAGAGATCTGGTAATAGGTGACATCCATGGCAACAGTCTGCGCACTTTAGTCAATTCACAGAACAGAGGAATTGCTGTTGGAGTCGACTTCCACTACGATCGGCGTATGATCTTTTGGTCAGATACCATACAAAATAAGGTGCTTTCTACTTTCAGCCTTTTTTATTTTCCTCCTGTCAGTTATTTGACTTCCTCACCACTTCAACATGTTGTAAGAATTGTGCCCGTCTTTTTGTTTTTCTCATGAATTGAGGTAATCTCCTAGTAGCCAAGAACAAATTCTTCTAATAATCTTTTAAAATATCAGCAATGTTGATACTATAATAATGGAATAGCTAGTGGTCCCGTGGTGGCTGGCTCATAATGGAGGGAAAAAGATATGTAATAGAATCCAACTGGCTTAATCTTGAGCCTGTCTGATAGGCTCATATGATATTGACATACCAAGGCCTAATTTTTGTAACTCGATCTTGTTAGAACTAATCATGCTGTATTCATTTTCATTGGTGCTGTCCATTTGTAAGCATTCTTTTGCAAGCTAAAGGGGCTTTGTCCTGACTAGACCTGGGGCTTCTTTTTGGTTCAAGCTACTATGGCTTAGCTGGAAGGCTGGAACATACCTCTGACAGAGCATCTCTGTATAATTGTCACACCGAAGGCAGTATGTCAGTTTAAATGTAGGGAGAGCACAAACAGGGCATCTGAATGCAACCGGAAAGGTTAAACTACCTGGCTATTTCCACGTCTTTGGTTTCTCTTTAAACAGGTCAGTTGGAAATCCTGCTTTCTAGATATCTGGATCGGGTTTCCATAAAAAGCAGAGTTGCTAAAAGCCCTGCCTCTTGGCTGGCTGCATAGTGCCAAGGCTTGCAGATTGAGTTTGAGGTTCACAGTGGTACAGTAGCAGGTTCAGAGGTCAAACACTCTCTGTCTATGTCACGTTTAATGAGGTATTTTTATTTATCTTTAACCTGCAACTTCATCAACGCTCTCAAACATTTTACACAAAAGGTTTCGTTTGCTATAGGCATGGGCTGATAAGAGATCTTCACATAATTCAATTTATATTTATATAAAAATTTGGGCTTATTTTATAATCTTATTTTAATATTGCCATTATTGAAGATATGTATTCTTGTATTTATGTATGTATTTTTCCCCTTTGATTACCTTAAAAAAACAACAACAAACGACGGTGAAATCGAATCTCTGCTAAACCTCGAGGATTTTGCAACGCATCATCAACAAACAAATACCTCATGACCAATCTGCTCCCCTTCCCCTCCTGAAACACAAAATGCAACTGAATGAAAATAAACATCTGTTTTTAATATCGGCCTACTTATATTAATTGGGCAAGTGGCGAAACTTTGTTTCAATGATGACATTGTTAGCTTTGTATGTTAGTGCCAATATTACCATTGATAATGCCACTACAATAATACTGAGGAATATAATCTAATAAGTATTATATTTATTATATTACACTATTGTTATTAACTATACAATTATTATTATTAACAAAAGCACAACAATTATTTTTTACTTTAGCCAAAATTATAATTAGACATTCTCATAATTTTTTTTTATTTTTTCTTTTATTTACAATTATGCACCACCATCAAATAATTTTATAATATAATGATAATGATATATAATCAACTAGAAAATTCCTGATACATTTTTGGAGGAATCTTCCCCTTTCTGCGTGGTCTTTCTTGTATAGCTTGATTATGTTTAAGTTTGTGGCAGCTTGTGTCAGCATACCTTGCAAGCAACTTTCATTGCCATAGTTTTTGGCTGCTTATGTTGCCATAATTTGCGACAACTTACGTCACCTATTGGTAATTTATTTATTTTTAGTTCAGTTAGAATATTTTCAATACCTTTGATGTTTTTATTAAATCTCTCTGTTTCTCTATAATGATGTTTAAAGATGATGATTGGGAGACTTTTATTTTGAAGTTTGCAGTAGGTCTGTTGTGAAAAGGCTTTTGTAATCTAAAGCTTATTGGCTTTTATTTAGCAGAGTACAGGGTGTCTTATTTTGAAAGTCTGGCATGGGCGTGTCCTAGGATAGGGTCAGATCCAAAAGTGATGTGGAATCCCTTTCCACATTTTAAATCACCCTTTTCCCTATCATTAAGGTAATATATGCTTTATTACTGTGGAAAGGGTGGTTTTTATTTTTAAATTTTCAATTGGGGTATGTTGATAAAAGGCTTTGGTAGTCTACTTTCCAAAACTGGCTGAGTTTGGTTTATAAGCTTGAGTCTTATGCTGCAGTGAATTGTTCTGTAAAATGCAAAGGCTTTTATTTAGCAGAGTACAGGGTGTCTTATTTTGAAATTCTGGTATGGGTGTGTCTACACCAGTAATATAGAATCAACTTCCAATTGATAAATCACACTTTTTCAGTATTATCGTATATATTGGAGGCTTTTATTTTGAAATTCTTTCCTGCCGTAAACTCCTAAAGGCGTTAAAAGTGAAGCAGGTCCCCCTTTAGAAAAAACAAGCAGTTGTGCAAATGTGCTTACCCCCCCCCCCCCCCCCCCCCCCAAAAAAAAAAAAAAGAAAAAAAAAACACAATCAAACAAAAAGGAAACCAAAAACGTATATCTGTACATACTGGTTCCTGTCTGATCTGCACGTGGAATAAAACAAGGAAAGCAGGAATAGATAAAAAGCTGCATAATTTGGGATAATTAAAAAGTTGTATGCTTTTGTTAGGAGCAACTAATAACAAAAAGGAAATTTGAACTTGAAAGTTTGTTAATAAGATACCATTCTAGGTTTAAATGCCAGTAATTTCCTTTTAATCTGATAAGGACTTCCCATCAGCGGACTAATAAGCTGACCACAATGGCATCTTTTATCTCCAGGTGTTTTCTGTGCATATGGATGGTTCCAACATGCAGGTGGTTTTAAATGTATCAGTTGACTATCCTGAGAATCTGGCAGTGGACTGGGTGAACAATAAACTGTATGTGGTGGAGGCCAGCGTCAATAGAATTGAAATGGTGAACTTGGATGGAAGCAACCGGGTTACGCTCATCACTGAAAACCTCGGAAACCCTAGAGGACTGGCGGTGGACCCCACTGTCGGGTAAGCGCATGCCCCTTTCTTCATCGTTTAATTAATCCAGCCAACAGCGGTCCCCACAATCTGCTTTGCTCCAATAGCATGGAATAATTGGGTGGGATGTTTGAGATTAACAGATTGCCATAGAGAGATTAGTGAGGACGAATGTAAGTGATGACCCTCATTGTAATCCTATAGTGTAGTTCAAGGGAGAGCGGCAGCCAGGTGGCTCCACAGAAACTCCTTATCTCAAAGTATTGCTTAGCTCTTTGGTGGATGCCCTGCCACCCACATAGAGTTATCCTACTGTAGATGCCTAATTATAAAAAGTTCTCTAATTGTACAATTTTAGGCCAGGTATGTGTTTTTGTGTTGCTTTTCCACACATACATTGAGAAACCTCTCTTTTTCTTTTTTTTAAAGGTATATGTTCTTCTCAGACTGGGAGGCAGCAAACGGTCAGCCAGGCCTGGAGCGGGCCTTCATGGATGGTACCAATCGTTATGGGATTATTGGCACCAAACTAGGCTGGCCCTCTGGAATCACTCTAGACATAGAGGCGAAGCGCATCTACTGGGTTGACAGCCGCTATGATTATATTGAAACGGCAACCTATGACGGTCTGCACAGGTACTTCATGTGTTTTACTCTTTCAAGCTTGAATCCTAAATACCTTTAGATGAATGATTAAAAAAGTTGAAATGCTGTTAGATGTAATTTGAAATACAAATACACAAAGAGATATTTCCATTATTACTAAATACTTACTGTGTTGCCATTTTTGTTCTGACAGGAAAACCGTTGCCCATGGGGGGGCTGTGGTCCCACATCCTTTTGGCATCAGTCTGTTTGAGCACAATGTCTATTTCACGGACTGGACCAAGATGGCCGTGATAAAAGCAAACAAGTTTACTGACAGCAATCCACATGTGATTTACACTACATCTCACACCCCACATGGAGTAGCAGTTATACATCAGCTAAAGCAACCACAAGGTAAGCTTTCTAGTAGCTGAAATCCTAAACAGAAGCCCCCCTGCAGTTGTTAGCAGATGGGCACTTATCAGAGTTATGTTTAATTTTTAATTTCATTGCACTTTTCATAAAGTTCTAACCTTCTAATAAAGATTTTGATGATTTAGTCTAGAATAACTTCTACTTCTATTTAGTTCAGTATACTAAGTATAGTAATTCCAAAGATTTATATGCATACATCAAAAGTTCTGATGTTAAAAGAAATATTCTGAGTATTCTGGACCTCAGACTTCAGAAATACTCAATTGAACCCAAATGAAAGTTAAATGTAGTAATTAATATAAGTACTTTGGCTTAGGTTGACAGTGTATAACAGACAGAGGCTGAAAGAAGGTTGACTTTGCACTTTAGTAAATTCAGATTCAGTGCAATCTGTTGAAAATCTTGCTTTCCTGCAGCCTAAATGAATTGCAAATAATGTTTCATTTTGAATTCTTTGTTGCATTTTTGTGCTTTTTCAGCCAGTATGTGCTGGGCGGTTTGGTCCCTTCAAAAGTTAACAAAATGTTTCCTAAGGGATACAAATGATTACCCTGGGGAATGCAGCTCATTTTGTGACAAAAGTATGAAACAGGAGGAAGTAATACATCAGCTCCCCCTGAAGTCTATCGCTACTTGCTTGGAATAGTTTTCTTCACCTCTTGTGTTACTCTTATGTTTTAAACAACTCATATATAGCTTTAATTCTTCTTTACTTAACTAGAAGCATCGCTATAAAGAGTGTTGTTGTCTGCACAACCTAATAGCACCTTTATGTGGTTCGTTTCAACTTAAAGAAGATTATTTTTGTTTTGTTTTTTCTACTCAAATAAGGCCCAATTTAGCTGAAAATGGTCAAATTCCAATAACAGGAAGATTGCTCAATGTGTGTAGTTTAACACTTTTTAAAAGTGTTGTTGTAATTGGAGATGGATGATATTCATGAGCCATTTACTAATAATCCACTAATATATAAGGTACTGTTTTTTTTGACAATCAGTGAGGATTATGCCTGCCCAGATTGCAGGCACCCAATTGATGGATGAGTCTTACGGAAGAGATGAAGTAAACCTGTTAGTGGTGCTGATCGTTTTTAAAGCTTTTCAAAGTTTCAGAAACAATTATCTGATATGAGCAAAAATTACACTATCCTGCTTCCCTAGTTTTAATTTTAGAACCAGCAAATGTTGTTAAGGATTATAATGTTTAAAAATCAAGTGTTTTTGATTTTTTTCCGCCTGTCTCTAGTGCCAAATCCTTGCAGTGTGGACAGCGGTGGATGTGAGCAGATCTGTGTTTTAAGTCACAGGAGTGACAATGGAGGACTTGGTTATCGCTGCAAATGTCGCATTGGTTATGATCTGCATGCTGATGGCAAACGGTGTTTGCGTAAGTTAAGATTTGTTATCAAATCTTTTTTTCTTCAATTTTTTATTATTTTTTTGCAAAGCTCCTTGCCTTTGAAAGCTGTTTTAGTTCCTGCATTCTTCTATTGCCTTCCATCCAGCTGTGAGGCAGTTTCTGCTGTTCTCCAGCCAGCTGGCTGTGAGAGGAATCCCCTTTAACCTGTCCTCCCAGGAGGACATCATCCTGCCGGTCACCGGATCACCCTCCTACTTCGTCGGTGTGGATTTTAGCGCTGAGGATGATGCCATCTTTTTCTCTGACTCTGCAAAAGATATTATTTACAAACAAAAGGTGGATGGAACAGGTGACTATATTTTTTTAACTCTATTAAGCTAAAATCATAATAGTATTGCTGTTCTGCTCTACCATGCATCCTCACACTGGTTTAGGGGGTTAAGAGATCAAGGAATCTAATGATGGTAGAAAAGGGATCTGTAACAATTAACCAAGCTTTTTAAAACCTAAAAAGAAGCTTTCCTCCCATGTTTTAGAAAAGATGCACAGAGACGAGCAGAAAAAAATCTACTCTGATCAGCAGTTGTGTTAAGAGTTGCTCTGAGAGGAAAATTCCAGCTGACAGCTTATTTATTTAAATGTGTTCCTCTTTCATCTTGCAGTAAGACAGTGCTCTGACTGCTTTGATCTGTGCAGGCAGGGAGATATTGGCGGCTAACAGAGTGGAGGGAGTGGAGGATCTGGCTTATGACTGGATTTCGAAAAACCTCTACTGGACAGACCCACGATACAGGAGCATATCCGTCCTGAGACTGGCTGATAAGTCCAGGAGGGCCATTATACAGAACCTGAACAACCCCAGGGCCATCGTGGTGCATCCTATTATTGGGTAAATCCAAACAAACTGCAACATTTTCCAGAAAAATGTTGGTTATGTTGTTCCATGAAGCACATGTCTAGTTTGATCATTGCTGACTGTGTATTAATGTCTTATTGCTGAGTTAATGTACAGAAAAAAGCTAAATTTTGCTCTAGCAATTATTCAGTTTGTCATATGCTGTCTGAATTTCTTGAGCTTTAATGTTCTTTTTTCTTAATTTTATGTGTTTTTCTTGCTATATTTATTATACTCACTTTATAAATTATGCCTATTTACAGATCTCTACAGATAAAGATGATTAAAGAAAAATCCTCCTTCTATTTTTAGATTCACATTCTAAGAACTGATCATCCATTCATAAACCTTCTACTATTAGGCCATCAGCTGATTGAATATAATATAATTTAGAACAAGTGGCTATTTCCTATAGTCTTAAAGTCATGAGGCCTCTGTGTTTAACTGCACAGATTAGCCCAGTATGAAGGCCAGTGTTGTATTTAACACTAAGAAGCTGGATTAAACAGAAAAGCTCTACATTGCAGACGTGTCAAAGAGAAACTTTTAAATAAATCACACAGGTAGATGTTTAGTAGCAACTTTGGATATTTTTTAGATTAAACATGCAAGTGAATCTTTTTATTCTTGTTGTTTCACCAGGTATATTTTTTGGACTGACTGGTACCGTCCTGCAAAGATTATGAGGGCTTGGGGTGACGGGTCACATGCCATTTCTATTGTAAACACTACCCTGGGCTGGCCCAATGGATTAGCAATTGACTGGAGGTGAGCCAAATATCTTACATCCGAGCACTCGGAACAACAGCCCCACATTGTATTATATTTTTTTAACACATTGCTTAATTAGTAAAATGAAACAATTAGTCTAAAATAGTCCCAAAGCTGTCACCCTCAGCATCCTAGAAAATACACAAACATTTTTGTGTACATTTAAAGAGATATTTAGAGAAAAGAAAAACAAATTTGTTGTAATTTAATTGAGACTAACAACACAGATGTAAAGTGAGTTTTAATTTCACTGCAAACAGAGTCCTAACAAAACTGAAACACTACTTTAAAGTTAAAGCTTATTCATTATTAAAAGTATGTTACCAACCAGTTTAATATCACAAATATTCTTTCCTACACCAAACAATACAATCACGTTCCCCTTTTAAAATCAGATAGCGATATATTTGCAGCTATAAATGTGTTTCATAGAGCTGGGTTTTTATTTTTTACTCACTGATTCATAATTATTTTCAGGTTTTGTCACACTGTGTGTGTGATTATTACAATGATCAATAGTTTAATTGGCTATTAATTGGCTAACATTTCTTATTAATACTTGGATTGGAGAGTTAGATGAATAAAGTTTTTTAATCAATTTAAACTTTTAGCAATTAACATAATTAGCCTAGCTTAGTGTGTAGTTCCCTGTTGGCCTTTTCATTACCTCACCTGTGAGATTTGTCAAAACGCTGCGAACATTTCCAAATCCAGAATAGTCCATGACCCGATAGAATTGGATTTGTCCAACAAGATCAAAAATTACTTAGCTTTGTGTCATTTGCTAAAGTCCATACCAGAAGCAACAGCTGATTTAGGCCTGCATTAAAGCTTTAACTATTTACAGCTTTAGACTTCAGTTGGAACTTCTTTCTTGCTGCAGTTAAGACTTCTGCACTGAAGAGTTTTGCTGTGACCTGTTGCAGCTGATTATAGTTTGTTCTTTGATTGGAAAATGCTTAGTTTCTGCACAGTCGATCATAGAAACAGTCTATCAGGTGTAACATAAGTCGATATTGTGGAATTTTCTGTTACACTCTAATAGGTTTAATTCTAAATCATTTTAAATAAATATCCATCCTTTTATTGTACTTATTGCTACAGTCACCTCTCTGATTTGAACACATTTCAGTTCCATGCGTCTGTATTGGGTTGATGCTTTCTTTGACAAGATTGAGCACAGCAACTTTAATGGACAAAACAGGCTTTCTTTGGACCGCATCACTCAGATCTCTCATCCTTTTGGCCTTACTATATTTGATGGTAAGTCCTTTACATCTAAAGAGCATGAATGTTTCTTTTCCTTTAACTTTAGTCATTATCATGTCAAAGAAGCAATTACTTGAAGCAGTTGGTGATGAGAGATAGAGTAGCATATTTCATGCTCTGCTGCTCCTTTCACACAAAGGCTATGCATATTTCACCGACTGGCGACTGGGTGGCATCGTGCGTGTGCGGAAAACTGACGGTGGGCAGATGGTTGTTATTAGAAGAGGAATCAGCCACATCATGCATGTCAAGTCTTTTAACTCCAACTCTCAGATCGGTCAGTAGCTTCATTCACTGCTCCTCTAACTTTCTTGTTCTTGTAAGCGTGACCTCAGTCATATTCCTGGTCATTACCCTCCCACCTACCCCTTCTCAGGTTCCAACCTCTGCAACAGGCAGACAAATCCCAACGGAGACTGCAGCCACTTCTGCTTCCCTGCTCCAGACTCCCAGAGAGTGTGTGGCTGCCCCTATGGCATGAAGCTGTCGCCAAACCAGCAGACGTGTGTGGAGGACCCCTCCAACGAGCCCCCTACAATGCAGTGCGGAGCCAACTCCTTCTCTTGTGGCAACGGCAAATGTGTCCCAAACAGCTTCAAATGTGACGGCGTTGATGACTGCCATGACAACACTGATGAACTCCATTGCGGAATCAACAGTAACCTGACTAATTAAACATGTCTCACACCTTTTTTCCCATAGGTAATATTTGTTTGTTCTACATCAAAGCGAAACCTCTTTGTGTCCTCTAGATATGACTTGTTCCCCCTCGGCCTTCACTTGTGCCAATCAGAGGTGCGTGCCAGCAAGGTGGCACTGCGATGGGCACAATGATTGCTTTGATAACAGCGATGAGCTCAACTGCCCCACACAGGTGCCTGGAACGTGCCCTGCCAATCAGTTTACATGCGCCAACCACAAATGTATCCCGCTAACTTGGCTCTGTGATACAGATAATGACTGTGGGGATGGGTCTGATGAAGTCCACTGCTGTGAGTATCTTTAGAAAATCCCACCATAAATATAGGCACCCCAGTTAGAGGTGTTTAGAAAATGAGTAATGTCATTCAATTCAATTCAATTCAATTCAAAAATACTTCATTAGTCCAAAAGGGAAATTAAATAAATGACTCCATTTTAAGCATTTTAGAAAAATCATGCCTGTTTTTCAACAAATTCAGCCAGAAAAAAACATGTTATTATTGGAACCCTTAATGGTTCCTATACAATAAATGGAAGAGAGTATTATTTTAGCGAATAATCCAAACATTTATTAAAATTACATCGCTTTTTTTTTTACTTTTATTTATTTATTTATTTTTACAGTAAATACAATTAGATTTTTCCTGTTAGGGTTAGTTAGGTTTCAATGATTTTTTCTTTTAACAACATACCAGAATAATTTTAATAATAAAGAATAAAGATTTTGGGAGGTTTTATTTACAATTTCTTAGTTAATTGAAAGTAGCTGATTGTGGGCAAATTGTGACAAAAAGGGACAGTGCGGAGCCCAGGGAGCAGTCTGTGGTTAAGGGTCTTGTTCAGGGTCCCAGAGTGACAGTCCGTGGGACTTGAACTGTGGGAGTTGAACTCAGAACCTCCGAGACCCAGGCACAATGCTCTAACCAACCTTCTAACCTTCCTTAGAGAATACCTTTAAAAAACTCAATATGAATTAAAAAAAGAGATTTAATAAAAAGAAATTAATACATTGAGAAAAGTAGAAAATAAACACTTTAAAGAAAACAGTCTGAAACACTTCTAGAAGCATAACACATCCTTGTGATTAAATATTGGGCATAGGAATGTAGCATGTAGTAGTGTTTACATAAAGTGCAGCTTGTGACAGAGCAGAAATAGGCTGGTGGTCTATTTTGATGTTTATCTCTATATGTGTTCTAGCATCTGTGTGGGTCAACTGCCTTCCAATTAGCAATAAAGCTAATATCGCAAGAGTGCCAATAATTTTTGTGCTGTTAATATTTTTTATTATTTTTATTTTTTATTTTTTAACTTTTTATTTTCAATAACAATTTTTATATCAACACATACATATGTCCACCCTTGTCACATCTCACAATTCACATCTTAATATCTGATTTTTATAGATCATTTTAGACCTTTCACTCACATCAGGCATAGAGGTTTTCTATTCCAATATTTTTAATTATAATTAAAACTTTTTCTTTGCACCAACCCCCACTGCACTCCATTTACATATCAGATGTTTTGATGTTGTTCAAAAATTCATTAAAGAACAATTAATAATTAATTCAGATTTTAAAAGCATCTTTTTACGTGTTACCAATAACTGAAAAAAAAGGGATCAAATGCTGTGTTTATATATAATCGGAGACATTTTCCTCCAAAACATACAAAAGGGCTAACAAGGTAAATTTATGTCCTATAAATCAAAAATGAATCATAATTTTATCCTCATCAGTTCAAGAAATTGCTGAGAAAAGATTAATAATTTTTTAAAGGAACCTAATTTCCTGATATTAAATGGTGCTTAAGGGATTTTTGCTGAATCTGCTGTTAACCCAGTGGTAGAAAGTTAAGTTATATATAAACGTCAGCACTGGGGGCTAATAATAAATTGAATTTTTGTCCTTCAGATATGGGTGCCACGTGCTACCCAGGACAGTTTCAGTGTCCCGACCACCGTTGCATAGACCCCAACTATGTTTGCGACGGAGACAGAGACTGTGTGGATGGAGCAGACGAGCTGGGATGCAGTGAGTAGTTGCTGCTCTTGTGTTGTAATTAATTAATTAATTATGCCAAGGTTCATTGAAGCAGGTTTAATTCTATCTTACACAAAGCTATAAAAACCATTTTGAACTGTGAGGTATTTTAGTAGTTCAGAAACACATTTGCTGGGCAAACTGTTGATAATCATCCCAGTGTATACTTTGAAAGATGCTTTTTAAGCTCCTAGTTTATTCCTCTCATCTGTTGTGCTGATTATTACCTCTTTTGTACTTACGTTTTTCAGTCTACAACTGCACAATGAGTGAGTTCAAGTGTGCCAGCGGGCATCAGTGTATAAACTCCTTCTATCGCTGTGATGGTGTCTTCGATTGTAGCGACCACTCTGATGAGCAAAACTGTCGTAAGTATTCTTACTGTTCTGGTGCTCATTAATCACACATTATTGTTTTTTCTTTGTTTTATACTATGTAGATATATTAGCTAAGTCCTAATCAGATGTTTGTCCCTCATGTACATCCATGTGAGTTGTTTAGTAGTATGGCTAATACAGAATCCTGAGGCAAATACAGATTAAAGCCTCTCAGTATGTTATTCAAAATCATTCTATATCTCTTGAGCAAGATTTAAATAGTTTTGAAAGGTTCATTAGTTTTTATTTTTATCCAGTTTTGACTTCTGATTTGAAAGTTTAGTTTGTTTTCATAAATTTTTTTGTATTTATAAGGTTTGGTTTAGTTTTTATTTTTTTTTAATTCTTAGATTTCATTAGTTTCAGTCATAGTTTGATGATTTTATGTAATACGACTATAAGGCTAAATAATAAAAACAAATAATAAAACTCCCATATAAGGACAGAGCACTGCCGCAACACAAATGATCCGACTGCCGTACCTAACATCTGCTGGGATAATGCTGTACAAGGACAGAAACCAAAACAGCAACCAGAAATTAGACCACATATTAATTATGTTAAAGTCACACAAAAAAAACAAAGGACTGTAAATTAGTTTTGTAAACTGTTATGGCAGTTTAAGTTATTTATTTTTATTTCAGTTAATGAAAATTCTAGTTTTCATCATTTCGTCCGTTATAGTTAACAATGGTAACTTTGCTCATCAGTTGTTGGTGGTGCTTATTTTCTCTTTTAATCGTCTAATGTTAGCCTAACTCTAGCACATTTAAAACCCTATAATTCATATTTAAACACTGTTCTGTGTAATCATCATCTGTGCACTCAAAAATGTGTTCTCTTTCTTCAATAAGTTGGGGTTTTGGTTTTAAAATTGAATGAAAAGCCTTTCAGCTCCTTTCTGCTGCACAACTCTTCTGGACAACTGAGGGTGTCTGAGTAGCACAACATGGAGAGAGAGATAGTTGAACCAACCAATGTCAGTTTTCTTTATGAATAATGTAACGGCTGAAAAATGCTAGGATATCATTGCAGAAACTCTGAATAAACCAATATATAGTAAGTTGTGGAAGCAATAGTAGACAATGATTTTTCAAACTCCCTGGGATTGACCAAACAATACATAGATACCCAACTACATGCATCAGTAGTTGCTTTTTTTTTTAATAGACTACCGTACTAACCATTTAAAAAAAAAAAGATTTGATTTGGTCCACCAGATTAATGGTTGGGTCAGATTTTGGACATCACTTGTTTTGGCCCACATGCTTGTGTCCTTATTAGCCACCAGGCCTCCCGGGATGTGCCATCATGAGAGTGAGTTTCAATGTCAATCTGATGGGAGCTGCATCCCATCCTCATGGGAATGTGACGGACATCCAGACTGTCAGGATGGTAGCGATGAACACCACGCCTGCCCTCCCCGGACCTGCCCTTCCACGCTGTTTCGCTGTGATAATGGAAACTGCGTTCTGCACAGCTGGATATGTGACGGAGACAACGACTGCAGAGACATGAGCGATGAAAGAGATTGTCCCACACCACCTTTCCGATGTCCAAGCTGGCAGTGGCAGTGTCCTGGTCACAGTGTTTGCATCAATCTTACCACAGTGTGTGACAACACACCTGACTGCCCCAATGGCGCTGATGAGTCTCCACTTTGCAGTAAGTGGCATCTTCTGTTTATTTCAGCTTGCGCTAAAAAACAAACTCAGAAAGCAAGTTTGATTTTTTTCTTACCCATATCTTAATATATAGAATACATTTTGCTTAGGTATAAGAAAAAACTGTTAAGTGTAACAACCAATTTATTAAATTGAAATCTAAAAAAAAACACAACAAATTTTAAAAAAATGAAATCAATTAGAGATTTGTTTGATGAATTGAATCCAGATTCTTTCTATTTAATTTTTTATGCTCATTTTATACATCATTTTCTAAGTGCATACAATGTTTACTTGTACATAAGCCATGATTGTATTCTCAGTAACTTTCACCCATTCAATGAAAAACTTAACAGTCTATTTCAACCTGATTTTTTTAATTCATCACTTTTATTAAACTCTTGTAATACATTGAAAGCATTCGCTTCACATCACAGAAAAATTGTGTTCAAAGTCACCTACTTATTTTTGTGTTCTTGTGTTTAAATCAAGCATGTGTGTGATTTGTCTTGTATTGACCCGAAAATGATCTTTGATTCCCCTTCCCCTCCTGTTGCCTCTGTCCCAACTTTCAGACGAGCCTTTACCAGGTAGGAAGAAACTTTCAATCCCTAACAGAATTGTTGCAAGTAGTTTAGATTTATCTTTAACAGATGCAAAATCATTTCTGTTATAAATTTCCATCAATCACCATGCACCACATTCATAACCTAGCTTTGACACAGGACAGCATTTCTGAGGATATAGTTTTTGCTTTGTTAATGTTATTAGTCTTTTCTAGAAAGCTGCATGTATATTAAAGGCTTTTTTCTCCAGATTTTCTGTTCTAAATAAACCTTTTCTTACTTTAAACTTAGACCAGGAGAGCTGCTCTGATAACAACGCTGGCTGCACACACGGTTGTATCCAAGGGCCTTTTGGGGCCCAGTGCACGTGCCCTGTTGGTTATCAGCTCAGCAATGACTCCAAAACCTGTGAGGATATAGATGAATGTAATCCCCCAGGACTGTGCAGCCAGCACTGCTTTAACGAGAGGGGCTCCTTCCGCTGTCACTGCCAGGAGGGTTACACTCTTGAAGCAGACCAGCGTACCTGCAAGGCTTCAGGTAAGGGGAAGAAATGTTTTTAAAACTTCAGGGTACGGGACATCTGTATCAAGTTTTAAATAATCTAAATTATATATTTTTTAAAGGAAATACTTCTAATATCAGGCCTACTGTGATCTTGGCTTTTAGCATTTTTTACCAGTCAAACAGGTATCTGATTTCTCCACTCGTCCAGCTGGAAGAAGCCATGGGGGGAAAAAAGTGGGACTTGGCCCCCAGACATCCAGACGGACACACTGCCTTTCTTCTCTTTTTGTGTTTCTTTGCTCCTCTGATTTCAAAAGATAAGGCAAATAACATATATGTCAGTCACTGGCCATCGCCGCGGTAATTAGGACATAATCACAAACAAAGGACTGTTTATAAGGGGAGTGTGCTTGACATGAGCTCCTCTTCCCTCACAGATAATTGCCTGAAAGCTTTTGCCGTACAATAGGACATTATTTGCACATAAGTGCATTCCTGAAGGACTGCCATTTGAGCAGGGTCTATTTAAGAGTCTTTTTGTCTGGCTGTTGTCAACTCACACACACTGGAACTGAAGTGTTTTTCTTGTCTTAAAATAAACATAACTGGATTTTGATATGTTTTATTTATAGATTCACGTCAAGCCTTCCTACTTGTGGCCAGTCGAAATCAAATCATCCAAGATGAAATAAGCGCTCAACCAAATGTGATTCGGTCACTGATTCGAGACGGACGCAATGTTGTGGCTATAGATTTTGACTCTGTTTCCAACCGTGTGTACTGGTCTGATACAAGCCAGGACAGAATCTGGAGTTCTAACATAAACGGCAGCGACAGAGCTGTGGTAAGTCAAAGAGAAATGGAAAGACTAATTGAAAGATTTCTATGCATTCTGGAAAATTATGGATTTTCATTTAGAAAAATGTATTCCAGTTCTAGAAATGTATAAAGAAACAAAATTAAATCGTGCTCAGAGTTTCTTTCATTTACTCAAATGCTGTATTTTTTCTTTCGTCTTTCCTCTTATGTGTTCATCGCTACCTTAAATCTTTTTACTTATCTCCTTTTTCTCCCCGTATTCTGCTCTTCCTTCACTCTTTCACCTTCCTTTACACTTCTCATTTCTTTCCTTATTGTGTCTTAACTCCCCTCCATCCTTTTCCTTGTGATGCTCTTACTACTATCCTTCTTTCTGTTCCCTCCTCCTCCATCCCTTATGTTCTTTCTTCCTCATATTATCTTTTACCTTTCCACTTCTTATTTGTTTCCCTCATTATGTCCTTGCTTTCCTTTTTTATTTTTACTTCTATACTTCTTCCCATCCTTCATTGCTTCCTTTCTTCAGTTGTGGCTCTAATGTTTAAAGTAGAATTATCTGCCTTAGTAACATTTGTTGTTATTATTTTTAATTGGCTGCAAATAAATAATCTTAAATGAACAATGTGTAAGAACCATTTTACTGGTAATTTATCGTAGTGATATGTTCATTTATCTTTACGATAGATATTTGACAGTGGAGTGACTGTGACAGAGAGCCTGGCCGTGGACTGGGTTGGCAGGAATCTATACTGGACGGACTATGTCCTGGAGACAATTGAAGTGTCCAAACTGGATGGAACACATCGGACTGTTTTAGTTAGCCAAAATGTCACTAATCCTCGAGCTCTTGTGCTGGACCCCAGAGACAGGTCAGAAACAAGTTTTCATGTCTCCTTCAAAACCTTTAACATTTGGTCACAAAAAACACACATTTTAATAAACATTATGAGTAGTAGGTGAGTGTGAGATAGGTATATAGGAAGCAGACGTATTCACAATACTGACTAAATTCCCTGTTTCCATAAACAGGTGGTTTGCACCAACCATCTATAGACTAAGATTTTTGCCCATTTCTTTTTAAATTAGCTTAAGGCCAAAGAAATTATGTTTTTTTTTTTGTTGTTCCATCATGTAAAAAAAAAAGGGGAAAACTTTAAGTCTGTCATTGCAACATGGAAAATATATTAAAAGCAAAGAAAGTCAGTAATTAAGGATTTATTCTGTTTTCCAGTGCTCATCTGATGTTTTGGACTGACTGGGGAAGGAACCCCCGCATTGAGAGAGCAAGCATGGATGGGAAACTCAGGACAGTCATCATAAGCAGCAAACTGTACTGGCCTAATGGTTTAACCATAGACTATCCAAATAATTTGCTATACTTTGCTGATGCCTATTTGGACTTCATTGACTACTGCGACTACAATGGCAACAACAGAAAACAAGTCCTTGCCAGTGACTTGGTGAGTGCATGAGGTGCTAGTAGTCTAATTATGGGCAGGAACACATTTATCGTACCTTTTGATAACATGTGTAGGACACCATTGTTTTTCTTCTGTTGCTCTCTAAAAAAGGTACTTCAACATCCGCACGCAATTACCATTTTTGAGGATTTCGTTTATTGGACCGACAGATACATCAACCGAGTGATGCGAGCTCATAAGTGGCATGGCGAGAACCAGACAGTCATGCTGTTTAACTTACCTCAACCAATGGGCCTTGTGGCAGTGCACCCAACCAGACAACCAGCAGGTATAGGATTGGCTTCTTCCTCACTGAATGGCATTTCAGGCTACAGCAGTACAGGACTTGTGTTACTGGACAACTCCACTCTTACTATCTTCAATAAGAATCTTTACAAGATATTTTTTATATATTCTTTAGTTTGCCTTGCACAATTCATACTGGGACATCTCCTTCCTGTATGGTATGATGGCTGGGCATCGGCATGGTTTTATTCTTGTATACTGATGGAAGCAGCCCCTGCTGGCATTTGGAAGCTACACATCCAGACATGTGCTTATCCATAACTCTTTTCCTGATATCTTGGCTATTTTCATTACATTTTTGTGTCCCACAAGTTATACCTCCGTTTAGTTTTAATCAATCAGTCCAAAAAGTGAAAATTTCATAATTTTGGCTTTCCTAATCATTAAATAAAGTTTTCTTTAAGCTTCTTGTTTTATTTTACCTCTATTTTATCAGGAAATAAATCAATTGGGATGTGGAATCTCTTTTACAAGGATATCCTGGCCAAGAAGTATAAAAGCAGAATTCCTGAATTTAGATAAAATAACAAAAATGGTGCATGGTGGCACAGTTTGTAGCACTGTTGCCTTGCAGTAAGAAGGTCCTAGTTCGATTCCTAGCCTAGGATCTTTTTGCTTGGAGTTAGCATGTTCTCCCCATGCATGCATGGGTTCTCTCCAACTACTCTGACTTCCTCCCTCAGCTAAACCATATGACTGATAGGTTAATTAGCTTTTCTAAATTGCCCTTAGGTGTGTGCATGGTTGTGTGTCTCTGCGTTGGCCTGCAATAGTCCGGGATCTGTCCAGATGAGTGGGGAAGGTGGATCTTATGGATATTTATAGTAATTCCATCAGATTCAAAAAAGGAAAAGATTTTTTCTGATTTCAAACAGTGATGAGAAAAAAAGTTGTGCGTGTCTTATATCTACAGTGTTTGTAACTTTCTGGATTTAGCCATATGTAAGTCCACTTTGCACTAATTTAATCTCTGGCTGCACGTTGGCTGCAGCCAGGATGTCATGTAACCTGCAAAGATCACTTAACGGGACTCTCTCTTCAATTTGTAGGGCGAAACCACTGCTTGGGGAGCGCCTGTACACATATCTGCCTACTCTCTGCTGTGGGACCAAGATACTATTCATGTGCCTGCCCCTCAGGCTGGACTCTGGCAGCCGACCAGTTCACTTGTGCCAGAGGTATGCAGCCGGCCAACAGGAGGAAAACACTCATCACTTAAATTGATAAAAAAAAGGAAATCTGGTCAAATATTGCTGATAAGTTGATATATTCATCAACTTTTCATCTCAGCAGTCATTACTTTTATGAAAAACAAAACTGCTAATCCCCATGTGATTTTCACATGCTTTCTGTGCATTGATCTTAACTTTTGTAAGAGGAGAAATCTTTGTAAACAGCATTGTTGTACTAAAGATTGAATCAGGTACCTGTCAACAGCCTCCCATTTAGAATACCTTGTAACCTGCGGCTCAGGTCATAAATATTAAGACTCATATGAACATGTCTTTCATGATCTGAAGAGGACAAGAGACCTTTAATATGAGGTCCAAGGAGTCCACCTTAGGTCAGCAGCTTAACTCATCTCAGGTTTCTGCCGCTACAAACCAAGCAGACTGCAATCTCTCTTTGAAGCCAACGATTATCCAAGAATGAAAATACCCTACAACCATTCCTTGACTCTAATCTCTGATGACAAAGCAAATCAGATTGGAGGACCGGCTTTCACCAGTCAATCCTCTTTATAGATAAAGGTACTCTAGCATGAGATCCCTAATTTGCACCAAATATTTTACATAGGAAGCAACAGTGTGAAACTGCACCTAATTGTAGCTCAGGATCTGTTTTGTAAGTTTGTAAATAAGTCAGGTTTTAGACTTTATTCTCGAAAAATAAAATACACTTGCATAATGTCTGTCATTTATTAGAGTGCAAATTTTGATTGAGTTTTGTCTGATAAAAAAAAAAATCATCATCTTTTACACACTTTAGCCATCTAAAAATTGTTGATCTAATTTAAAGTGCAACATTTTTTAAACCCATTTTAGATTTACCTGACCAAAATATAAATTTAAAAAGAAATTGGCTCTTACTGCCTTTCATAACATTAAATAAAATCTTTTTTCAACCAAATTTATGGTAAATATGTTTCGTTTTATGTATAACTGTGTTTCATATTCCCTTTTTAAGGTTCAGTACAAAAACACAGCAGTCCTTTAAATCAAATGCATGTCACCTAAAGTTAACATTTATTTACGCAAACCCAAAAAGTATCGGATCACTAAAAGGTGTTTATGTATCATTTAGATTGGGCTTGGTTTACCTGAGAAATAATTATTGAAATTAAGTTTTTCTCTTCTCATGTTGCTGCTAAATATTATTTCCTTTTGCCAAATGATATAAATTCATATTGTTTAGATGTTAAAGTTATGACATTTAACGTATTTCATCTCCCCCAACATTTTTTCCTGTTTTTTTTTTAAATCATTGTTCTCGTGTCTCGGGGAAATATTTCAGACTTTCCTTTGATGAAATTAAGACAGATTTGTACTACTCTACTAGTTGAAGATCCCTTTCTGGTGGTTGTGAGAGACAGCATCATCTATGGTATTCCACTGAACCCGGAGGACAAGAGCAATGATGCCATGGTTCCAGTCGCTGGTCTTCACAACGGCTATGATGTTGACTTCGATGATAGAGAACAGACGATCTACTGGGTTGAACACCCTGTGAGTCCATGCAATGTGTCTTCTAAGATGCTAGACTATAAGCAAACCTCAGTTATGTCTTCGTTGTATAATTATGCTGTGGTTACAATTCTATTCAAATCATTGTCTCCTTAGTAAGAGGTTCACAGACAGTAGAAGTCTGGCCATGTTACTGTAGGTGATGTTAGCTTGAAGAAATGTTTAAATTTGTCCAACAGGGTGAGATCCACAGGGTTAGGTCAGACGGTACAAACAGGACGGAGTTTGCCCCCGCGGCCATTCTGGGCTCTCCTGTAGGTTTGGCTCTGGACTGGATCACAGAGAACCTTTACTACACCAACCCAGCTACACAGTCTATTGAGGTGAGATTAATTCATTTATTTATCTTTTTGTTTATCTTTCTACTTGCTCACTTGTTTTGTTTGGCCAGGTTTTAAAGTTGAGAGGAGAAGCACAGTACCGTAAAACTATCATCACCAACAACGGCTCTCCAACCGGCGCTGGCAGTCCTGTTGGCATCGCTGTGGATCCAGCACGTGGGTAAGCCTCATTTAACACCGTCCTGGCACAGCCACTTAAATCCACTGCTACTGAGCCTTTACAGCCTCCATCTGGTTGGCCTCAAGAGAGACCTTAACAAGCACTAGCTGCCGTCTAAAACCCCACCAGCTTACAGTCAACAAACAAATGCTTTCCTTTCTTAATATGGGTTAAACAATGAGCATTTTTTGTTGAAACTAAATATATTATATCTAGTTATGTAGGCATGAGCTGATGTGTAATTCATATTGTGTTATAACCTATAGTAAAAATGCCCTAGTGTCACAGTATCATAGCTCCAACACCACTGCTGCTATAACTTAATGTTGTTTAACATCATTGGTATATAATGTCAATGGCGTTAGCAGCATGGAAGAAACAACTATGGCAGACGACAAACCAAAGGAAGGAGTTAAGACTGAGCACATCAACCTAAAGGTGGCAGGGCAGGATGGTCCTTAAAGAGTTTTAAGTTAAAAAGGCATACTCCTCGCAGCAAGCTGATGAAAGTTTACTGTGAACGGAAGGGTCTACCAATGAGTCAAATAAGATTTCAATTTGGTGGTAAGCCAATTAGTGAGATTGAAACACCTTCACAGCTGGAAATGGAGCATAAAGATTTGATAGATGTCTTCCAACAAAAGACAGAAGGATTGACCCTTTACAGTTTCCTGTGAACATCCCTACCTCCCTTGTTTTCCTGAAAGCCTTTTTGCTTTAATGAGTTTGTTTTATTTTCTTCTTCCCATGAGCCAGAAAAAATAAGAATCCTGATTTTTTATTTTTACATGTGCATCAGCAGGGATTTCAATTTGGAGGAAATACGTCTGATTTAAAATGTTATGGAAATAAATTTACTTTTTTTTTTCATAAATGTTTGGTGTTCAGGTAAAAAACATTTATGGAGCTACATTGGGGCCATAAAGTGTGGTAAAAAAAAAAAAAAAAAAACAAGAATTAAAATGATCCTAAAAAAAAGTTGTTGTTTTTTTTTAAAGTTTTGCAACAAAAGCAAATACATTTTTTTAAACAAATTTTTGCAAATAAAAAAAATTGAAACTGGAAAAAAAAAGTTTTCATTTTCAAGTTTTTTTTTTTTTCCACAGTTGCAGATTTGATTATTTTGCTTCAAATTTTCTTTCCTATCATGCCCTGTGGGGCGGGGCCTACGATTATGGGATGTTCAATGTCACTGACAGCTTAACACAGTGACAGAACAACATATTAGGTGCATTCAAAATAAGCTAGACCTGCACAGATCCAGTCAGTGTTTGTCTGTGGCCCCCCTAAAACCCTTCCAATTATTCATGCATAAACACAAACTTCAATGATTAATCAGGGGTGTATTTATTGTGGGCATTTGTTCATAATGTACTTAACAGGCTTTTAAGATGGAGGCTATTTGTTGGGATGAATATTCCAAAACAATCCTATAAATAACATGGAAAACAATCCACAAATAAAAGATATGTGCAATATTAGGCTACGCTTGGCTGACTATTTAATGTTTTTATGTTGTAACATGTAGCCTTATTATTAGGCTAATATCCAATTGGGGTTAGGCTTATAACATTCAATAAATTAGATCAACTATACAGGCCATTATCAATAAAAATAACAGACCTAAATGTGAGACTTTTCATCAATACAATACATAGAACTCTAAAGGAAAGTTTATTTTATATGTGTTCTATTATGTATATTCTACCAATGAGTTGCATAACGCTAACGCGATGCCAGCAATTTTTCAGTTGCAAAAAGCCAATTCCCACCTGTTGCATTCAGCGAAAAAGGGAACTGGAATTATCTGTAACATATCTTTGACATTCTATATATATGTGATTGGTTTTGGGAGATATTTTGAACCCATAGGCTGTTCTAGTGGGCATAGTTGAAAAGTGCTGTATATCCAAGGTGACCTGCATATGTGATGGTTTTGTACCAGTTCTGTCAGGAGGAAATGTTGAAAATTCCATAAACTGTACTGTGGGAGAGCATGTGGAAAGACAACCGTATTACTTCTGCTAGAGGCTCTCCACATGCTCTCCCACAGTACAGTGGTATTAAAGCCATTTATAAGGGGAATATATGTAAATTTCTCTACTTTAAGAAACAAAGAAAAATGCTCTTTATTCTAATATTTAGAAATACAAGGTATTTTAAATATTTATAAATGACTAAAGATCATAAAACCTATTTAAACTGATTTAAATATCTGTGAAAAAAGTTAATTCCTGGTTTAAACTGTGATTGTTTAATGTAACCTTAAGTTCATATGTTTTTTATTTCATTTAGCAAACTTTACTGGACAGACCAGGGAACGGAAAGTGGTATTCCTGCAAAGGTAGCATCAGCGGATATGGATGGCATGAACCCCGTCAACCTCTTCACCAACAACCTTGATCACATTGAGTTCCTCACTGTGGATATCCAGGAGAACAAGCTGTACTGGGCCGTTACAAGCACTGGAAAAGTCTGTTTTCATTAATTTACCTCCTCCTAAAAATTGCTGGTACTTAATGTTCTCTGTGCTGTAACTTTGATGTGAACACCCTTGAAGAACATCCTTTCTTTTTTCTTCTTTCTTAGATTGAACGTGGGGATCCAGATGGAACAAATCGTATCACGATAGTGACTGGTCTTTCCCATCCTTGGGGTGTCGCTGTCTATCAGAACTACCTGTTCTTCAGCGACCGGGATTTTGAGGTCATCGAACGTGTAGACAAGTCGTCTGGTGCCAACAGGGTTGTGATGAGAAACAACGTGTCTGGACTTAGAGTCCTAAAAGTTCATTTTAGAGATAGTAAGTGGCATACTCCCTTAAAGTTAATTTGCACAGATAACTAGAGATGCACCGTAGAGTTTTGTGGCTTAATTAATTAACTATATTATGCAATGCAGCTGGAAAGTATTGCCCCCCTTACATATTTCTTTAAAACTTTATTTTTGTCACACTTAAAAGTTTCACATAATCAAACAAATATAAACATCAGACAAAAGGAACTTGTAGCATTAGCATTAGTCTTTTCTTTTTTCCATCAACGCAACGTCAGAAAAAAAAATCCTGGTTTAAATTGTCCTTTTTCTTTCTCAAGCGTTGCAAGAGAGGAAAAAAAAATTCATTTTTAACCAACTCATTTTACTGTTTGTTTTTGTAATACCTTTTTTATCCATCAAACGGGTGGTGCTAGATCATCCCTGCAAATAATTCTCTATTGCTCATAAAAATACAAGGTTGATATGATAAACACATGCCATGGCCAATAAATACACAGCTTTTGTATCTTATTTTACGTTGCAAAAATCTAATTTTATATTTGGGACATTGATTCTTGAAATCCCAGCCTCTCTGACTATACAGTTGAAGAATTCAGCCGACAGTGACTGTCTGTTTTATCACACCAGTGCCTCTAGTGGCAAAATAAAGTATTACAAGAACAAACGGAAACATTTGCCTTTGATTTTTTTTTTTTCACTTGCCTTTCAGGGCAAAAAATAAAACAAGGAAAAAAAAAAAAAACTTCAAACTTTTCTATTCCAGATTTTTTCCCCCTCTTGCCTCTCAGGGCTTCCATAGTACAATTATACCCAAGAAATGATTTCCAATGGTTTGCGATGAGCAAAAGTTGGGGTATATTATGAATAGATGTGAAACATAAGAGAGCAGTTGCTGAAACAGTTTTATTTGTTTACACAAAAATGAACATATATTAACAAATTAAATTCCTTTGCTCGAGATGTGTGTGGTTCTGGTCATCAGCTGATTTCTGTGTATCTCTGCAGTTAAAATAGACTGTTGGAATTAAGCTTTTTCTTTGATGCATTTCTAATGTCGTGCTTTCTCTCCAAACTTAGCGTCTGCAGGGACATCTAACGGCTGCTCTGACAATTTAGGAGCATGTGAACATCTGTGTCTGCCGCGACCACGAGGTTTTTTCACCTGTGCATGTGTGACAGGTTTTAAACTTAATGCAGACAACCACACCTGTGCCCCTTACCAGTCCTACGTTGTGATCTCCACTCTGTCTGCAATAAAAGGCTTCAGTCTAGAAGGCTCAGATCAATCTGAGGCCATGGTCCCTGTGGCTGGTAGAGGTTAGTGATGTTAATATCCTATTTCCAGTCATTGATTTCATATATGCACTGTGTCATTAATTTATTTAGTCCCACAGTAGAGAACACAAATTCAGTTACTTTCTTTTTAAATGCTCTCTTTCAGGTCGTAACGCTCTCCATGTTGATGTGCACATGGCTTCTGGCTTCATTTATTGGTGTGACTTCAGCAGCACTATGGCGATCCAAAACGGAGTTAGACGCATAAAACCTGATGGTTCAGGATTACATAGTGTAGTTACATCTGGAATAGGGCGCAATGGGATACGGGGTATTGCTGTGGACTGGGCTGCAGGTAAGCTGCTGATGTAATTTAGGCATGTTGTAATTTTCACTTACATTTGGTAAGCCTTATTTAAATGCTGTGTTTTCTGAAAATCAACAAGAGGTTATGTTATGCAAGTCAGCTATAGAAGGCCGCGAGAATTTTAAAATAAACTATGAATAGAGTAGAAAAATTTTACAAGTGCATGGAATTTTGTGCATCTCTCAGAGTCAGTACTTCTTAAACTATAAAACAGAAACAAATAAATGTACATAAACAAGAAATAAAAGGCATTGGATGGCATAGAAATAATAATAATGCATGTAGTTTGAGGTTGTAAAAGGAATTCTTTCTCTTTAATATCCTGTGCCTCTAGCTTGACAGTGGCTTGGAAAAAAGTTAGGGAAGCCGGTCCTGTGAGTGCTGATGCTCACAGGTCTGTGGTGTCTAAGGTCTAAAGTTGTACTTTCACTCACTCGAACAGTTAATGGGACAGGTAGCGGATCTGGGGATCCTTCATATTTTTGCTTGACCTGTAGAGGTATACATAGATCTTTTACAAAGTTCTTTGTCTTAAATAATGTTACACACTAGTTCAGATGGATGATTTGGAGGGCTGTGGTTGCATTTGGCACCATCCATGTGCAATAGATTATTGCATTCACAAGGCTGTGACTGCAGGCAAGACTGGTAAGACTTATTCTATCAAATCATTTGCAACAATTGCACCTGACTATTTGACTGATAGCATAACAGTATATGCTGTAAAGCAGTGGTCTCCAACCCTGGTCCTCAAGATCTACTGTCCTACAGATTTTAGATGCATCCCTGCTTCAACACAGCTGAATCAAATGATTGATTACCTTTTCAAGCCATTCCTTTGATTCAGCTGTGTTGAAGCAGGGATGCATCTAAAATCTGTAGGACAGTAGATCTTGAGGACCAGGGTTGGAGACCACTGCTGTAAAGCAATCCAGACTGTGTGCCTGTAATGAGTAAAAGGGAGAGCATTTCCGTCCATTCTCTTTGGGACATCCAACGGTTTCTCGACTGATGACACGGTGAAAGAGCTTAGCTTGGTTTATCAATAATGTGTGGGCGCAGATCAATGTAGAGGTGGCTTGATCAAGAACTCATGACTTGCTGCCCTTGTGTAACTCTTTGAATGTGTATGTTTAATATGGTGCTTCTTACTTTACACTATGCCATCCAACTTTCTGTTCAAATAGAGCTGCCACAGGTTGATAGTGGGCCACTCTTTTAGATACAACTTAAATTTGAGTTTAAGCTCGTAATTCATAGTGAATGCTCTCAACTTTTAGGACAAACACTGTATCTTTCTTTTTGCAGACTAGGTCAGGAAACTCCTTGGATGTTAATCAGAAACGAGAGCGTTGAAATTCAACCATTGCTTTGGAATTTTTTAAAGGCTTTAAAGATTGGCAAAATGACAAATAATGGTTTGAAGGTTTTGGAATAATAGATCTGGTGATCCATCTGACACTGTATATCACAACATTTTTTTCCCAAGGTTATATTTCACAACCTATGACAATTTTTTTCATGTAAAGTTCGAAACTTTCCTTTTCCTTAGGTAACCTGTATTTCACCAACGCCTTCCTGACTGAGACCTATGTAGAGGTACTTCGCTTGAACACAACTTTTCGTCGAGTGTTGCTGAAGACTCAAACGGACATGCCTCGCCACCTTGTTGTTGATCCCAGAAACAGATATCTCTACTGGGCTGATTATGGTCAGCACCCCAAAATTGAGCGTGCTTTATTGGATGGAACCAACCGCACAATTTTAGTGTCTTCTGGGATCATTACCCCACGAGGCCTTGCTCTGGATTGGCATACTGGTTATGTCTACTGGGTGGATGACTCTCTGGACATGATTGCCCGCATTAGCCCCAATGGAGGGGAGACCGAGATAGTTAGGTATGGTAGCCGATATCCAACTCCTTATGGAATAACGGTGTTTGAGAATAGCATCATTTGGGTGGACAGAAACCTGAAAAAAGTGTTCCAAGCGAGTAAAGAACCAGGCAGCACAGAGCCCCCTGCTGTAATTAGAGATAACATAAACATGTTAAGGGATGTCACTATCTTTGACCAACGAACTCAACCCACCACTGCCCAGGAGCTGAACTACAACCCCTGCATGGAAAGCAATGGAGGATGTGCCCACCTTTGCTTTGCCCTTCCAGCACTTAGCCAAGCCACACAGAACAAAAAGTGCAGCTGTGCTTTTGGTGATCTTGCCATGGATAAACAAAGCTGTGAGATGTCAAAGGAGGATTACCTCATATACACTACTGAGAGCACGGTGCGCAGCCTGCGACTTGATCCTGAGGACCATGCAGTGCCGTTCCCTGTGGTCAATGTGCCTCGTACCTCCGTGGCTCTTGACTTTGACCTCACAGACAAAAGGATTTACTTCACTCAGAGCTCAGGTTCAGGAGGAAGCAAGATCAGCTATATCAGCCTGTCCTCTCCCACTTCAGCTCCTGTTGTTGTAGCAGCAGGTAAGTTTAGGACTTCTACAGTTTTCCAATTGTTTCCCAATGTTATGATTGGGAAACAATTGTATTAAAGACATATTGTTGTTACTGCAGATCTCGGGGCTCCTGATGGGATAGCCTACGACTGGATTAACAAAAGAATTTACTACAGTGATTATGTCAACCAGAGTATCAGCTCTATGTCTGTAGATGGGGCACAAAGAACAATAATTGCCCATGTATCGAGGCCAAGGGCCATCATGTTGGATCCTTGTAGAGGGTAAGGATTACAAAGGAAACCATCTTGATTCCCAATGTTAGGCTGTACCTTTTTAAGCTGCTTTTATCTTGTTGTACAGATATATGTATTGGACTGATTGGGGGAGTCATGCAAAGATTGAGCGTGCCACTTTAGGAGGAAACTTCAGAACCGAGATTGTGAATAGCAGCCTGGTATGGCCAAATGGTCTGACTCTGGACTATGAAGAGAGTAGGCTCTACTGGGCCGATGCAAGCTTGTAAGATGTGATAAAACTCACTTTTTTTAAAATTTGTTTATTGTGTTTCTTTTCATTTAAAAAATCTGCTATTGCCATACTTTTCCTGTGCCTTCAGACAGAAGATTGAAAGATCCTCTCTATCGGGAGCCAACCGTGAGGTCATTGTCAGCACAGCTATCTACCCATTTGCAATGACTATGTTTGGTCAGTTCATCTATTGGACCGACTGGAACACACGCAGCATCTATCGTGCTAACAAGCATGATGGCTCTGACCAGAGAGTTATGATTCAGAACCTCCCATCTCGACCAATGGACATTCAAGTTTTGGCCCATAGGAAACAGCAGCAGTGCGACAGTCCGTGTGAACAGTTTAACGGAGGCTGCAGCCACATCTGCACACCAGGTACAAGAAACCGCTTTAAATTAAGGCAGATATACATTTAATTCACTGGAAGCTCTTTGTAAATGTCTGATGAGCCTGCTCTTGTTAGGACCCAATGGAGCTGAGTGCCAGTGCCTGTCAGAAGGTCGATGGTACCTGGCTGACAGCAAGTATTGTATTCATGATAACGGGACTCGCTGCCAACCAGGGCAGTTCACCTGTATGAATGGCCGCTGTATCCGAGCGCAGTGGATTTGTGACAATGACAATGACTGTGGAGATGGTAGTGATGAGCTGGAGAGAGTGTGTGGTAGGTTTTTCTGAAAGATTTTGTATTAAATGTCTAGGGGTCATTTCCTTCTTTGTTGAGTCTTTTATGAAATTGTATTGTTTTACATTTACTAATATTAACAAATTAGTATTTGTTTGTTTTTTCCTTTAACAAATTGCTTTCTTAGGATTTAAACCAATCTTCAGCTATGCTGGTGCGTATGCCTGCACTGTATGATCAGACTGATAATCCTTCTTTATCAACAGTAATCAATACTAACTTAATTGAATGTCCTTGCCTTTGCATGCAGTCCCACAGCTGCTATCCTCTTTTATTGCACTGTCAGGTAAAATTAGCTCCTGGTGAAAGCGCATTTCTTTAATCTCAAATTCTTTAAGCTAAAGCTCTGATTTGTTCTTTATTTTGATCGCCAGCCTTCCACACCTGTGAACCTACTGTGTTTACTTGTGGCAATGGGCGGTGTGTTCCCTACCACTACCGCTGTGACCATTTCGATGACTGTGGAGACAACAGTGATGAAGCTGGCTGTCTGTTTAGACCCTGTGACTCTCGTACAGAGTTTGCCTGCAATAATGGCCGTTGTATCGCAAAGGACTATGTCTGTAACGGCATAAACAACTGCTACGACAATGGGACCACAGATGAACAAAACTGCCGTGAGTTTCTTTAGCTGGCTGTTTTTGTTGTTGAAATCAAACATTCAGTTATGTCTTTTAAAAAGATTGATATCAGACTTCATGTTTTTTTTTTTAGGCTCAAGATTTTTCCATTTTTGTTAAATGTGAAAAGGTTGCTAAAGACAGTTTAAGAGCATTTTCGATCCCTTTTTATATTCAAAACTTAGCATACTTGTTCTAACTTTGGCAGAATTTCTGTATGACTTGGGTCAAATGTGGTGGGTATCTTTTCCAACTTTAATGCAATAGTTTTCTGGAAATTTGGCCCATTCCTCTTGTCAAAATTGTCATCTTTGTAAATTTACACTACCCAACTTTTCAGCTCTGGCCATACATTTTCTGTGGGACTGAATAAGGGCTTTATCAACCCCCTTTCAGGACTTTGTTTTCCTTTCTGAATGTTGCCAGGATAAGGACCACCATGCATATCCATTTGATAAACCATTCCTGTGTTGAAGTTAGTCTACCCTGAAGTAAACAACTCAAAAATGAATATGCTTGTGTTCCTGTTCTTCAAAGCTACATGGTGTTTTAACCTGTAAAACCACACCGTTCTTATCAGAGTATGCCTTTGGTGATTATGATACAGTACTTCACCTTCAGCGTCATCACGTTATAGGGCTTTTTATTTTAAAATGAAGATCTTTGTCCCTGAGTGCAATTGTGACCTGTAACCTGACTAACTAATATCTCAGAATGCATGAAAATTACAATGGTTAAATTTTTACCAATATAGACATGTTAGACATCGTTGGAAAGCATAGATGTTTATACTAAATTTGTCCATAAGGGTTCACAGGTTAAAAGTAATCCAGCATATTCATAATAAAAACATTTCATGATGAGAAAATCATCACATAACGTCTGATTTTTTTATTTCAGAAATGTTAGCTGGTCATAGCTAATGCTTAGCATCTTGCATTTTGAAGTAAGACTAGACAGCTAGAGTTCTGAGATTTTCTGCATTTGTGGTTGACATGATGTAGAACAAATATAATACAATGAGACATATTTCTTCTCAAGCATGTCTTTATTACTTCTGTTCAAAATTGACCTAGAATAAGAAAAACAACTTTGAGTAATGTTTGAACTGATGCAGCTTAGGCTACAGTTCCTTAGCCATTTGCTTTTCTATTTTGGTATGCAAAATAGGCGAGGATTACTTCAAATGAGTCAAGTAACAGGACTCAACATTTGGGAATAGTGAATGTTGTACCAACCAGAAATTGATATTACTTTTATCATGGGTTTGTTTCCAACATTTCTCATCAGAAGGGTTCTCTTTATTTGAATGCGTTATGGCTGAAGATTCCTTTGGTATTTATACTGATGTATAGTTAATTAGACAGATGGATTTATCCCCTTTAGACAACTAAAGATTGTGCCATAAATGTGTCAGGTGGCTGGAGGATTGTTGAGGACCCAAATGCAGAGATGAGTTTGAAGATTTTATACGTTTCCACAGGCAACTGAGGGAAAAATCCAAAAATCAAAAATACTTAAAACCAAAATCTAAGGGACATCAGGGAAAAACACACGAGGAGCCAGGAAATGACAAAGCAACAAAAAAAACAGAAAAAAAAAACAGCAATGAATGAGGGCTCTGCTGCTCTTTAAAGCCCAGCACTCTGATTAAACTCACGAGCTCCACCTGTGTAGACTAACCAGATTCTCTTCAAAGATCCTCTCTTGGAGAGATGCCTGACTCACACACATGGGTACCCTGACAAAATGAACCAGTGTTTGTTTCCTTTGATATTTCATGTAATCTGATAGAGAGCACAGAGTTTGAGGTGTTGCAATATAAATATTGCCAGGTCAGTATCTAATGGACCCAAATTTGTGAATCAACAGAAGATTTTACAGATGAACAAAATCATCTTGGCTGTCCTAAACAGTTAAATAATCTTAAAAGTATTTTCAACTTTAAATTTTAGAGTTAGTAGAAAATATTAAAAGATATATTAAAAAACCTCTTGTAATATACTTGCGTTTAGCAGATAAATATAATCTTTAAAACCCTCTTTATCTAAAGCACAAAAGGGTTAATCTCATTTAGACAAAAGGGAAATAAATGGTTTACAACTGCATATTTAAATGTCTTGCTTCAACTATAAATATTATGTGTTTTTATTATTATTTTTCTATATTTCTAACTGAATTCAAATGTGTGGTTATTCTAGCTGAGAGAACCTGCCAGCCAGAGCAAACAAAGTGTCAGACCACCAACATCTGTATCCCGCGGTCATACCTTTGTGATGGAGACGACGACTGTGGTGACATGAGTGATGAAAGCCCAACACACTGTGGTGAGTTCAGCAACAGAAATAATGCACCTTTTCCTTTTCAGATGCTTATTAAAGCCCTTTCTCTGTAGTTTTTGGTTGCATTTTTACTCAATAAACAATAGACTCATTAGAAATTGACTGAACAAAACGTTGAAGCTACGTCAATCACTTCAAAGGTGTTCATTGACTCAGCAATGTCTTACTTTCAATGCATTTTTGATGTAACTTACAGAGGTTTATAGCAATAAATAAATAAACAATATACACTTTATCACCCAGTTTAACCTGGGTTTATATTTGTAGCAAATCTCTGTGACCTGAAGCAGGAAAAGTAAAATCATACTAAAAATTGCAGCTTTTTGCACATTTTACATTTATGTTTATGAAGTTAAAAACAAGCATGACCCAAGAAAAATATAAGTGAAGGATGTTTGCCTACTTATTATTATTATTGAAACGATGCCTGTAGTGATCTGAAAACTCTCCTTTATTGTACTTTGCCCATGTTGAAGACAATTACGTAATTTTTAACTGAGGTAGAATAGCTTCAAATTAAAATTTACAATGATCAAGAATTTTGTGGGCCTTTATTTAATGGTCAAGGAATTTGAAGTTTTTTCATTGCAAATAATCCTACTGTTGCAGAATTTCTGTCTTCTTTAGGGCTTTTAACATATCTGCCAGGTAGATTGATGGTTGTAAAGTGAGTAGTATATCAAAACCAACATAATTTTTATGTCATTAGCACTGATGGATTGTATTTTAACATTGTTAGCATAAGGCTTTTTTCAGCATCACCACTGCATTTTCTGCATGTACAATAATAAATCATTTTTTTATGTGTGTATATTGTTTTACAAGGGGAAAAAATGTACTACTTCATAGTTTTTTTTCTTCTAGACCTCTTAACTTTTAATGCATTTTATCTAACAGGCAAGGGCGTAGGTTTGATTTGAACTTTGGTAGGGACACTCTGGTGTCATTGGTGCTATGCTATATGCTCTTTTTTATGCTCGATGTGAGCATCCGCACTGATAAGAGGAATTCATTGTTAAAAGAGAAAAGCAACATTTTGCTCCATTAATAAAAATGTTATAAGCTCTACACTCATTAGATGCTGTTTATCAATGTTTGAAGTATCAGCGGCTCTGATGAATGTGGAATTAGGTCTGTTTTCCACTTTGAAAACGGTTTCATTTGAACGACTAAGAGAGAAGTTAAATACAGGATTTTCTTTTGAAGATATAGAATTGTGCAGAGTTAAACCCCACTCTTATATTTTTACCTACTATTCTCTCTCTGTATCAAGCAAAATAATATATTCATTAAAATATTAACTTCACTAAAAAAGTTGAACATCTGGGCTGTAGTTAGTCTGTGTAGCCAATTTCATGTATTTCATCTGGGGCTGAAAAAAATGAATCATATTAATTGATTATTTCAATAATCGTCAACTAATTTAGTAAGTGATTCATCATTAACTGGAGAATAGAGACTTTAAAACATACAGTAATATAAATGTAAAATGTGCCTTTCCCCACAGAGCAACCTACTTAGATCAGTTATTATATCAAAATTGTAAAAATAAAAACAAAAAAATGAAAACAGTAATATCAACTAAATAACGGTAAAAAGGAAACCCTCACATTTTCTTTTTTAGTTGGCTGTGGCTAAGAATCAGAAATGTTGATGCTTACAGCCTTTATTTGCCCATTTTTCCAGCAGTCTTCAGAACTCCTGGCTGACCCAGAATATTTCGTTTTATAAAAGAAAAAAAAAAGGTTTTTGTTTTTTAGTGCACATGATATTCATTTTTTTATTGGGACTAGTTTTGTAGCCTAATATTAATTGTAGTAACCGCTGCATTCTAGTGTGAATACATTTTCAATGTTGTGCTCCAAGCACACGCGAGCTAGAAAACAGCCAATCGGAGAGAGAGAAGGCTGAACTTAAGGCAGAACAACCAATGAGTTAAACAGAGCAGCACAGTTCCATGCGCTGCTACATGAAAGGGACAGGAGAGACCAGGCAGAGGAGCTGCGAGAGGACAAGAAGCCACTGCTGCAACAACTACTGCTGTAAACTATAAACATGTTGCTCAAATCCAATTATTGGTAGGGACAATTAGGTCGGTTCGAAATTTTGGTAGGGACATGTCCCTATGGTCCCTATGCAAACCTACGCCCATGCTAACAGGGAAGAGTAAAATTATGATCAAAATAAATATCTCTTATGAGTCACTGTTTCAAAAAGATCCCCATCTGACTCATGTCTTGTCTGCACCTCCTGCAGCGACAGCCACTTGCTCCCAGAGCGAGTTTCGTTGCTCCAGCGGTCGCTGCATCCCTGCCCACTGGTACTGTGACGGAGGGGCTGACTGCTCTGACGGCTCTGATGAACCCCTCTCCTGCAGTGAGTGCTCCTCAACACTCTCACACCCAGAAAGAGCCGTTCATCTTTGTGCCTCAGCCAACACCTCCCTCCCCCCTCCCCCAACCTTTTATCAGCTGCTCACTTATTGTGTGAAGGTGTCTGTTAGCCAATCTGTGCAGTGTGAGAGGCTCATGCGAGTACGAGTCAGTGGTGTATCCCTTTGTTTATGATGTGGTCAGCCAGGCCTTTTATTGTGAGCTGCATTCCTCTGTGGTGACGCCCCTCAATGTCCTCAGACAAACAGCACCTCCCCCTCTCTTTATACGCCCGGGGTTACAGAGCCTCACTTTGGCTTTTGTTTAGATTGCTCACCATGCATGGGAATGTGGAGTTGCCATGACTATTTTGAAAGCCTTGCCAGTGTTGTATTATGCCTCTTATTCAAATTTTAAAAAAGCTATAAGAAACCCTTACAGACAAAGATGAACACATCATGCAGGGGTTGACATTAACAGTTCAATTTAGGTTGGATTTGGTATGTTTTAGTGAAACCTATTTGTTTATTGCTGTGGGGTCTAAAAATCTAACATCTCTTTCTCCAGCCATACTGATCAGAACCTGCAATGCAGATCAGTTTCGCTGTGATGACGGCAGGTGCATTGCTTTATCGTGGATCTGTGATGGAGACAATGACTGTGGGGACATGAGTGATGAAGATCAGAGACACAACTGTGGTATACACCTTTGATTTGTCTTTCTGCTGTGACTAATTAGGGTTACAAACATGCAGAGGTTAACAAATGTGCTCCCCATCCATCTTAGCTGATTGTACTGTTCCAGTAGAAATCAGACTGCAGCAGACAAAAATCTTGAGACTTTCAGAGCTGTCCAGATACAAAAAGAAAAATCACAACTGTCAACCAACAATTGGCAAAATAATCCAAGCAATCTCCTTTTGGTAACAAATTATATACCCAATTGGAAACATGGGCCTGATGTATTTTATCTATTTTAGCGAACATAAATGAACAGTGGGAGTAATAACTGTAGGACCTTTATGTCATGAATGCTTTATTTTTTTTGTGACATTTGTTTTCCTTCAGAAGCTCAGATTTACAATAGGCCTGTGCAGTGTGCTGAATTCCAGTCATTATTGCAATTCAGTGGCTGCAATTCCTCAATCTCAAAAGACTTCTTTTTCACTTTACATTTCAATAAAATGTTTGTCCATAAGGAAGTGTTCTAACTGCCCTTAATATCACAATCAGTTATTTTTAAAACACTATGATAGTATAGTTTATGATATTTGGTATATTGGTTATTTGTCTTAGAAAATCTTGTAATTTGACCTTCACTCATAATTCCTCAATTCCATATCACACCTTCCCTGAATAATCTGTTCAGCATAACTTTATTCATATAATACTATATTACATATTTATGCTAAGTACTAACTACAATTATCAAAATACTTTTAACACGGTGCAGGGGTGCACCAGTAGGAACCGTTCCAGGGTTCAGTTCCAGTTCTTATTTGCTGTTTTTAAGATGTTTTTTAATTTATTTATGTTCCAGCTTCTTGCATTTACCACATTCTTACTCTCCTGTTTTGCAAAACATTTTTTTTTTTCACTTTGCCACCTCGTGCTCCCTAGACACCATGTTTTTCAGCATATTCGCACACCTCAAACTATGGTTGTTGAGGTATAAACTAGTCGCCAGTCCCAAACATCTTAGTCTCCACTAGATCTCCAGTCCAAGAAGCCAGCATTCCTGATTTTTCCTGCCTCACCCGTTACTTTGTGCTTGTCTCTTTTCTCTGCCTTTCTGGCTCAGGGTGGATCAAGGCTCTTATAAAGCTGCTCCAAAAATAAGATGCCTAAAGCTAGGGACTTTAGCAGTGATTGAGCCTCTGCAGGAGACTCATTTCAAACAATGCAGTCAAGGCTGTGCTGTTTGGATACAGTTTGGAATGTTGGGATTTCCAAAATATGTCACCACTGTTGTTCAACCTCTTGCAAATCCTCATGTCTGATTTAATGTTTTTTTTTTCCTAGCGAATCGCACATGTTCAAGCACTGAGTTCACTTGTGTGAATAATCAACCACCTCAACGCAAGTGTATTCCACGGGACTGGGTGTGTGATGGAGATGCAGACTGTGCAGATGCTCTAGATGAGCATCAAAACTGCAGCCGCAGATCCTGTGGCATCAATGAGTTCACCTGTAGCAATGGCCTCTGCATACGTAGCTCGTACAGGTTAGAATTAGAACACTACACACTTATTCTCTATGTTAATAGAGTAAAAGCTGAGTTCAATTGGCGTTTTCTTTTTAAAATATCAGGTGTGATCGCCGCAACGACTGTGGAGACAGTAGTGATGAGCTGAGTTGCACTTACCAGCCCTGCCAGTCACACCAGTTCACATGTCAGAACGGTCGCTGTGTGTCCCACGACTTTGTGTGTGATGGTGATAATGATTGTGGAGATGAGTCTGATGAGCTGCAGCATCTTTGCCAAACGCCTGAGCCCACATGCCCCCCTGGAGAGTTCGGATGTGAAAACGGACACTGTATTCCCCAGAGCAAAGTATGTGATCGGAATGATGACTGCTCTGACAACAGCGACGAAAAAGGATGTGGTAAGTATAAATTGACATTTTTAAGTCATTTTCACCCTGTATGAGTTACAAAACAATAAAATAAAGATTTGGCACCAAATTCTAGGTTTTATCAATTATCATTTAATTCTCAGTTGTGTGGTCACTGAACACTGCAGCAATGCCATTGATTCGTGTATAAAAACATAAAAATACTGCAAGACAGGAGGCGGTGAAGCAATATCAATATATACATATATATTTTTTTGCATCTTCTCTGGCTGTAGGTATCAACGAGTGTACAGACCCGTCAATTCACCACTGCGACCACAACTGCACCGATACACCCACCAGCTTCATCTGCACCTGCCGCCCAGGCTACCGCCTCATGTCTGACGGCAAAACATGCGACGACATCAATGAGTGTTCAGAGACACCTAGCGTCTGCAGTCAGGTCTGCGAAAACATCCTCGGCTCCTACGTGTGCAAATGTTCTCCGGGATTTCTCAGAGAGCCTGACGGACACAGCTGCCGCCAGAACAGCAACATCTCTCCCTACCTTATCTTCAGCAACCGCTATTACCTGAGGAACCTGTCAACGGACGGGCAGGCTTACTCTCTTATTTTGGAGGGTCTGACCAGCGTGGTGGCTCTGGACTTTGACCGCGTTGACAAACACCTCTATTGGATTGACGTGAGCCGCAGGGTGATCGAGAGGATGCATTTTAACGGCAGCAATCGGGAGGTGGTGGTCAATGGACTTCTGCATGGAGAGGGACTTGCAGTTGACTGGATTGGAAGGAAACTGTATTGGGTGGACAGCTTCTTGGATTGCCTTAAAGTGTCTGAACTGGATGGTCGCTTTGTCAAGAAACTGGCTGAACATTGCGTTGATGGCAATAACAGCTACTGCTTTGAAAACCCCAGGGGTATTGTTCTGCATCCTAAATACGGGTGAGGAGTTCTAGTGCTCTAGTGTGTGTGCATTCATCCCTAAGAAAATAATCTGTATAATAACAACCAACTGCTAAAATTATAAGTTAAAGTGTTTTTTAATTATTTTTATTTATTTTTAAACCCTGCTAGATATGTCTACTGGACGGATTGGGGGGACAAAGCCTTTATAGGTCGTGTTGGAATGGATGGAACCAATAAAGCAGCAATCATCACCACTAAGATAGAGTGGCCCAATGGCATCACAATCGACTACACCAATGACAAACTCTATTGGTCAGATGCTCATCTAAACTATATTGAGTGAGTTCATCAGAAAATTGGTCAGATTCTTTTTACTCGCAGTAAACGGACACTAGTAGAGTTTTACATTTCCTTTTATCTCAGATACTCCGACTTGGATGGACAGCACAGACACACAGTTTACGATGGAATCTTGCCGCATCCTTTTGCCCTGACTGTATTTGAAGACACGCTGTACTGGACAGACTGGAACACACGTACAGTGGAGAAAGGCAACAAGTATAATGGCTCTGGACGAGAATCTCTGGTTAACACCACACACAGGCCATTCGACATTCATGTATGTCATCCTTACCGGCAGCCGATTGGTAAGTCTTCACCCGCTTTGCACTCATCAGTAGCCGGTCCTTATTTGCTCAGCTGTTGTCAACAGATATTATTTGTTTGTGGCTCCTGCTATAACAGTAAACAATCCCTGTTCCGGGAACAATGGGGGCTGCTCTCACCTGTGCCTAATCCGTCATGGGGGGCGAGAACACACCTGTGACTGCCCTGACCATTTCCTGGCTGTTCAAATAGGAGGTGTGACCCGATGCCTGCCCATGTGCACCAGCACCCAGTACAGATGTGCAAACAATGAACGGTTTGTCACCATTTCTTTAACCTGCAGTTATGTTCTTTATGAGAACTATGAAAGTTTAAACACAAAGATTTTTAGATGCACTAGACATATTTTTTTCAAATAAAACTCCTCACCCATGCTTTCCTCATACAGCATTTAAGCTATCTCTACAGAAGGTCGGGGAAAGGTTTATTACTAAAGATGCACTAATCCAAATTTATTATTTATTTATTTTTTTGATAAGTTATAACACCACACAAATTGGACCTGAACTGATGACCTGAACTATAATATAGGAGAATATTGGAAGATTGATCACAATGTTTTTGTAGCCTTCGTGCCCTGTTCAGTCAAAGACCCCTGAGTTTTTGCATGATTAACAAAAACATTCACCAACAGATGCTGCTTCTGTTACTATACCCTTCCATACATCAATAATAAAAAAAAAAAAAAAAACCCCAAGACATTTTAGTTAAATGAGAAGATGACAATAACCAGATGGCCATATTTATTGAATCCAATATCTTACACAGCGTCCGTCACAGATCCTACTCAGCTATCTGATTTTTCACCACTACTTCCTTTCACGTCTCATCCATGTGTATAACCTGTGTGTCCTTTATTTGGAACTTCGGTTTGGGGGCACATAACCTTCAAAACCACACTAATCATGGTGGCATGATTTCATACCATTAGCTATTAAGCATACGTATTAGCATACCATTAATTTAACACCTACTAGCATTATCATCATACCTGCTTGTAATTTTGTTACCTATTTTGGGCATCCTTGTTTCAGAGAAATGTTTAAAGAGAGATCCATAGCTCCAAAGCTCTAATTCTTAATTATTTCTCAATGGTTGTAAATCCTTAACAGTAAAACTGGTAACAAACTTTGTAATTAGCTTTTCCCAGAATGGGGTTGTGGGAAGGCTTTGAAAATGCTTGTTTGATAATCCACTGCGTGCCGGTGCAGGGTGAGGTCAGCCATTTTATTTCTGTCTCTGAATGGAACCACGATTCAAGGATTTACAAAGATTCCATGTTTGGTTTTATAGAGCCTGCATACGGTGTGGCTCTTGTCCAAGTCAGTTTCTCTTTGGTGATGCTGGTTGTCATACATGTGACCTTCTTCTGTGTTTCAGGATAAAATGCTTTAGTGCTTATAGATTTTTGACTAACTTATTTTTCATAATTAGATCAGAAAAAAATATGAGATTAGAATCATCAAGGTCTGTGCCTCAATGATAGACTTAATCCCCCAACCCTTGTGTAATGGAGGCAAACAGTTGTTCCTATAACCTTTCGTTAAAGACAGAAGAAAAACAGCTACCAGTAAATGAAATTGAAAGTGACAAAAGTAATTATAAATACATTATAAATATTTTATTAATGTGTCTGTCTATGATCGATCAGTTTGAGGAAATCACTGAAATCAGGTGTTTTCTGTAATGTTCAGGAAATGTTTAGTCAGACATCTGCACCTGTTCATGGGCAAGCTACTTTAATTTCTCTGGGACAGTTTTTTTATATAAAAAAATCTAAATCAGTATTTTACTGTACAAAATTTATAATTCAGTAAATCTATATTTATTATAACTTTTTTCAGTTTTGTGTTATTTGAATTAACTGTGTGAATTTCTCATTTTCTTTAATTGTAGGAAATGCCAATTTTAAAGCATGGCTGTATGTGCTCAAGCACCTCATAGTAGTTTTAACGGAAGTTAGCACAGCTAGCATTTCTAAAAGAAGAGCGTTCATGGGTTATTCCCCTGGAAAAGCGCTGCATGTGACATTGCTCTATGACATGAGGCAAAGTCAGAGTGTATTAGTAACCCTTGTACTCCTAAAAGGTTTTTTAGGTAAGATTCTCCAGATGTTTCAATAATGGCTCACTAACCTGTTAAAAAAATGCTGCCTCACTGAAAATCTTTTGGAAATCTGATAATTTCTTAGAGACAGAGGTGGCTAACATCACTCAGTCTTCCAACACCTGTGACATGTAATTAACTTTAAAACAACCTTATAATAGTTTATCAACTTTATAGTACGGGAAATAGCCTTTCAAATATATTCCCTGTAAGTTTGTGTTTTACAGTAAATCAAATAAGAGTTTGTTAGGTTTGGTATTTTTTTTCAAGTTCTGGTCAACATGGGTTTGTCTCCCTCTGTGTCAACAGTTGCATCCCTATCTGGTGGAAATGTGACGGTCAGAGGGACTGCAGAGATGGCTCTGATGAGCCCTCTACCTGCCCGATTCGCCACTGCAGCCTTGGCCAATTTCAATGCAATGATGGAAACTGTACCAGTTCACACTTTCTCTGTAACAGCCACCAGGACTGTCCTGATGGTTCTGATGAAGATGCTGTGCTTTGTGGTAGATGGTTTAACTGGTTACGCAGATAAGTATATCCCTTTTGTACTCAACTTATTCTTGTTTTTTTTCATCTTCTTATTCGACGACCTTCCTCTCAGCTACCCATCAGTGTGAAAGCCATCAGTGGCAGTGTGCGAATAAGCGCTGCATTCCTGAGTCTTGGCAGTGCGATGGTGAAGATGACTGCGGTGATCAGTCCGACGAGGACCCTGTCCACTGCTCCACCAGGACGTGTCGCCCAGGGCAGTTAAAGTGCCGCAACGGCCGCTGCATCCCACAGAACTGGAAATGCGATGTTGATGATGATTGCGGTGACAATTCAGACGAGCCACTGGAGGAGTGCAGTAAGCAACTTACCTACATTCATCTTTCTTTTTTTCACATTTTATGCATTTTATGCAGCACAATGTACGGCATCATTATAAAAATATGCTTTTCAAAATATTGGACAAGAACAATTCAGAAATGTGGGGCATCTATTTGTTTTCCACCCTTCTGTGCCAATGATTCTAACAATGCTTTTGGGTTATTTTCCCACCAGCTTTGCACATTAGTAGAATTCAATGTTTGCCTATTCTTCTTTACCTTTTAGCTCAAACTTAGTCGGATTGGCTAAATCTGTATTTTAGTATTGCTGCTTATTTTTAATTGGATATGTCAGGATTTAGACTGAGCCCCTCAAATGCAAAAATGCTGATTGATAAGCAACCATTATTAAAACACTCAGACCTACATAATATATATGTTTTTATTCTGTGAGGACATTGCAATACACAGAGAGAATCCACACACGTATAGGGAGAGTATAAAAATCCACCCTGGACTTTCTTGGTACAAAGCAAAGCACTTAAGAGTAACAGCAAATAATGCTTTTTCATGGACAATTTTTATAATTAGGGAAAATTGAATGAAAAAGCTGACAGTTTGCAGCATAACAAAAGCAGATCCTCATTACATTAGTATCATTCCGTTAGTTAGATTTCGTGTTGGTCTTCCCCTATTCTGTGTGATTTTCCTTACATATGAGCCTGTTAATTTTCTGTTTTCTGTCTGACAATCAAAAGCTTCTGCCTGTGGATAATCAACCAGCTTCCTTGTCTATTATCGATCCATTTAAGAGCATATTTCTGTGCCCTGGATTTTTATACTTGTCCTTATCTGCTGAGTGCCCAAAACTCAGAGATAAGTAATCTGATCCATTCTTCCTCATGTGCAATGTCTGCCTGCCTGCCTCTTGCTTTACTCCCTGATAATGCAATTTAATTCTGAGGGAACTCTGGAACTTTTGTTGAACACGTGGGTATCGAATCACACTTGCTCAGGACGCCTTTTCCTTTCACCGGTTGTGACGTTATTAGCCTTTCCTGCTGTTTCCTTGTTTTTCCTCTGAAGAAGTGTGCAGGTTAATGAGAAACTGAATCCTGAAGAGGCACAAAATCTGGAATATGCTCTTAATCCTGGTCTTTTTTTATTTTCTTGTTTGCTATTTCACAGGTTTCCTGTTTCCCACCATTCTCACTGATTCTCACTGATTCTGACTCACAAATAATAATTTTAAACCATCCTCAGTGTCTGGTTTAGTTTAGGGTCCGCCTTCTGGTTTATAACCCTGTTGTGAAAATTCTATGAATAGATTTCATTACAATATACCAAAACTGATTAAACATTCAATATAGTTAGCTTCATAGTTGAAAATACTGGTGAGGTCTATTTGATTTTGGATACCGAGATGTTATAATGCAGAGCCTCAAAAGCTCCATGCTTCTATGGATGCAAATGTTACAGAAACCTGATCTAGAACATTCGATTGTAGCTCTGGCTGCATGTTTCTGGAGTTTCCTCAAGTAGCAACTTATATTTAGCTCCATTTACGTTCCCATTTTCCATAACTAATTTCCTTGTTCCTGCTGATGAAGCATATCCTCACAGCATGATGCTGCCAACTCAAGGTTTCACAGTAGGAATGTTGAGTTCATGGTGATAAGTGGTTAGTTTACTTCCACAGAACATATTTTGCGTTTGAGCTAAAACATTACATTTTAACCCTAGAGCATCATCTTACATGTTTTTTGATTCCTCTATGTTGCTTGGGATGATGTTTGTCACACTTTCCGTGTGCCTGTTTTTTAAACATGGGGCAGACCTTGTGTTTTGGTCCTTCATCATCGCAATAGGCCTCTTCTCTCTGGACTATGATCTATTATAAACATCATATGATCTCGAATCCCAATAATAAAAAACTGTTGATTTCTTGATTGGAACTAAGGGTATGAGTACCTCTGGAAGACTCTGCATGTTTACCTCACACGATATTCTGACCTACAAAATATGAGTTTCACCTACAGTACAGATATAAAAAGGGAGTGCATCTCTGCTCACTCGATTTAAACAGGGAACTGTTGGGCCTTTGTTTGTGCTGGGCATTTCTATAAATGTGCTTTTATGCGTTTTCCACAGTGGGTCCAGCCTATCGATGTGATAACAACACGGAATTTGACTGCACAACCAACTACCGGTGTGTGCCGCTGTGGTCCGTCTGCAACGGCCACAACGACTGCAGAGACAACAGCGACGAGCAGGGCTGCGGTAAGTCTTGTTCACATCCTTTCTTATACAACGTAGACTCTTCATGGGCTCCTTAGTTTCCATGTTGTATTTGTTCTCGTTTTATCAACCTTAGATTACTACAGAAAATTCTTTTGGAGTGAATAAAAGCAATTAGACAAGCCTTCAGCCTCCTGTGTAACTGTGGTGCAGGGGGGGCGCTGATGGAGATCGTCTCATCACTCTTCCTCCCCCATAATTTATCTCTCCCTGGAAGCAGTGCAGATTTATGAGCTGTCTATTGGTGTGAGACAACATATATGTGTGTATGTGTGCTCTGTCCTTGCGTGGGGGCAGGGTTCATATATGTCTCTTTGTACTCGCTGCGATCCAAATACACTCTGCTGCCGCCCTCCCGTCTCTTATCACAGACCCTCACTCCATTAGTGCCATGCCTGCACAGGAGGGGATATCTGTGCTAATCTTCCTGTAAGAATGCAGAGGATGGGCCAGGTGGAGGGCTATAAGGGCAGGACTCCTGAACACCACGCTATCTTTTACCCCCCCGGCAGTGTGTGGTAGAGACAGCTCAGACCAGCTCTGTTTCACTCCTCTGCCTTCTGTGGTTCTCATCTCCGTCAGTCTTATCCGCCTCAGACGTACGCTGTACTGGCATGAATAGAGCTCACACATCTGTCTGTGGCAGTCTGCCCTCCTCCCTTTTAGACCTTTGAGTTTTAATTAAAACATCAGCTTTCTTTCATTTCTGACCCACACTTTAGTTGACGGTGCTAGCCTGGGTATTTTCATCACTGAAATGTGTCAGCTTTGAAAGCTTGTTCCTTAAAGATTAGCTTTTTTTTTAACGTAATTTGAAATTACATTTAAAAAAAAAACTTTTTTTTTGGCTAGTGCTAGTGTAGGAAATATAGTTCAGTTGAGACTGAAATAACTGAGCCCCAGTTTTCCAATTGCAAAATGACTTGGTCTAAAGTCTTATCATTGCTTTTCTTTGAGTTTTAAGGGTTTTCTTGTTTGTATTTGGTACACGTTTACAAAAAGTATATGAACACCTATAAGGTTATTTTTCTTTAAATCCGACAGTTTATTTGTTTTTAAAATTATTCTTGACACTTCTAATTTCAGTAGTTTGGTAAAGTGTCTTTAAATGTGTCTGTATAGTAACGTCCAGTAAAGGTCCGGAGACATTTTTCATTATTATCCTTTATTTTGAACTTAGACAGATTTATTTTGTCATTTTGTATACACAAGAGTAAACAAAAATAAATTTCATTAAAAAACAGCTCTCTAGAAAATTTCATTTTTTTAAGTGCAGCCTTGAAAACAGTAATATAAACATATGACTGTATATTTACAGTTCTAACATTTCAGTTTTTTGTTTCGGTTCTTTTTTTAAACGGCATTTAACATTTAAAATAAAATAAGATGTTTATGCAACCATGTTATACATTGACTTTTTAAATAAAAATATATATAAGAAATAGAAATTGAGATTTTTTTCCATTTTAAATCTGGAAAATCTGAAGTGTTTTTTGAAGTAGAGAAGAACAATCTTTCAGTTTGGTACTAACCGTTTGTTTTTGTTTAGGCCGCCCTGCAAGGCTTTAAACCTGGGTTTGAATGGAGACAAAGCCATTCTAAAGCACATATCAAGGTGCTCATTCGTGAGCCTGGATCCATATTTATTTTTGATTCTGTTCATGGTGGAGAATCCTGCTTCACAGCAGTAGGTTAAGCCAAACTTACTCAAAATGTGCAGGGTCATCTTTGAGCATGTCATTTCACTTTTATTTCACCAGTTCACCGCAGTTCTTCCAGCAGTCCACACTTTCTCTGCTCTCTTTTTCTCATAATCTTCTCCTTCTTTCCCATCGCCCGGCTTGCCACAGGTTTGCCTGCTGGGTCTAAAAGTAGCAGCAGCAGCAACCCAGACTGACAAAAGCTCATTGGCTAATATTTGTATCATGTGCAGCCTGGTGCCGGATGCTCCGCAGGGCTTTACCATATTAACAGGAGAAGCGGCGCAAGTGAAGTTAGACACCGTCGTCGGACAGCATGCAGTAATTTATAAATGTTTTCCATCAGTTTGGGTCCGGATTAGCATGACCTCTTCCCTATACTATAAGTTTGAAAGTGTTAATGTTCGGCAGCGTTTTGGTGCAAAAGGATTGGAGTCATATATTAGAGCTGAAAAAAATAAAGAAGTTAGATTTAACTTAGCTGGACATTTAGCTTGGTTCTTTAGATTTAAAACTGAAAAGCCACAATTTTCCCTGCTGCTGTTATTTTTTGTTCAACAAGTTAAAAGTTTCACTGGTAAAAATATTGTAGAAATTTTTATTTTATTTTGATACATAGACTTAATCAAAAAAGTGTAGAAAAAAACCTTGTAAGTTCTGTAACAGTATTATTTATCATTGTTTCTTAGGTTCTTGTCTATAATAACATAGGAATAAAAATAGCAGATCAGTTTCCCAACCATGACTGTTGATCTATTTCCAAAACACTTTAAATAATTTTCTTGTATCTAATGATAAACCTAATCAGCTTCTTTCAGCCAGCTAAGCCACAGGGTGCAGCAGCAGGATTAATACTCTCTGCATCTAAATGAGATACAATCTCATTAAAGACATTTTTGTCTTCTTTGATTAATAACTTTTTTTAAACTTTGGACCACCTTACTCTTGTCACGCTGCATATTCAAAGGATAAAATCACGTCTTTTATCTTTGTGAGAGTCTGCAGGGAGCAGAGTGCTTTAAGATCCAGATTATAGAATCGTTTCTTTGGTGATTTGTGTCTGTTTCTTGTCAACATACCACTGAGTTTCATCTCATTTCTCAGGTCTAGGAACCCTTTTTTGCCTGAATGATTCAAAGGTTGGGGTTAAAATGCTTAAAACGACAACAAAACATTCCTCAGAAAAAAGTTGTGTTTATAGGCTGGAAATAAGTCTACAAAGAAATCATCAACTATGAAAGAAAAATATGAATATGTTGTTTAAACTTATTTGATTAATATTAAGATATGAAGCATTTTAATACAATACCAATTCTTAAATAGATATGTTGAACCAACACATTCTCACTCGTCATATATTGATGCTTGGTCAAAGTCCCCTTATTTAGGTGTAGTTATTTTTACTAAGTGTTGTTCCTTCAGTGTTTGACTTACATTACTGGATAAAGTTTCATTGCTGTTTATTGTTCAACTGAGGAAAGATAGAGCATGTCTTTATAGATGTTGAAGTGAACAATAACGAGGGGTGTGGAGCTCCCCCATGAGGTAACTGCATGAACATGCAGCAGTAGGCATGTATTTGGTAGTTTTCTTATATTAATTATTTGAATATGGAGCACTGCTCATTATAAAAAAAATAAAATAAATTCTAAAGATTTTAAGATCACTTGAATGTTTTTGTTTAGGTTTGAATATGGAAATCTAAAGAGCTCTAAAAATCACTCTTTTCTTCTTTCAGAGGAGGTGACCTGTCATCCTACCGGGGATTTCCGCTGCGACAATCACCGCTGCATCCCACTGAGATGGCGGTGTGATGGGGATGACGACTGCGGTGATAACTCAGATGAGCGCAGCTGCAGTGAGTGATGCTGACTGTATTTAGACAAACACACAAACCCTACAGCATATAAGGATATCTGATGGTTTATGTAAGGAGCTATTATACAGGTATGTAGAGTCTTGAAAAGTCTAGAAAAGAATTCAATTAAATTCAGTCTATTTTCCTAGTCATTAAATGGATTTAAAAAGGTAATAGTGGTTGAATTTTTTTTTTTTTTCTCTCTCTCTTATTTATTTTACCTTACTGATATTTTATATTAGCACACAAACTGGTGCAAAAATACAAATAAAAACATTTTATATTTCTTTTTTATTTTCTTTTTTACAGGAGATGCTGTTATTGAGTTTCCTCTTTCAGCCAATGTTTTAGGCCAGTTTTCAGACATCACACTCAGCAGATAGAAACAGTATTTATATAGTCCAGATTTTCTAATTTGTATAGATTTTAACAGCTGAGGAAAAAGAAATAAACAAATTACTGATCTGACATTGGAAAAATGTACCTCTGCGTTTAAACCATCACTTGAGCATCATGGGGCGGAATCGGGTGTTAAGGGCTTAGAGAGCCAGAGCAGCAGTGTGGAGGAGTTGGTTTTGAGCTCACAACCTCAGGATTCCAAGCTATATGCACTAACCACTAGGCCACCACTCCCCTCTAATGAAAATGGAGTACATTTTTTACAAACCTGCAGCCAGCTGTTATTGTATTTCTTTCTTTCTTTTTTGGGGGGGAGCGAGTTGATGAATCATCATAAAGAATGTTTGAATATTTGCACTAACTTTTCCATAAAGGAATTGAAAAAGGTTCAGCTACAGCTTATTCTAGTACAGGAATTGTATAAATGACAAAGTCTAATGTGTGCAAATTACAGTTTTGCAGTTATATAATCCAGTATTTGGGGAAGTTTTTGACTTCAGGGTTTAGTAGTGTAAGAGGAAGTCTTATCAGCACCTGTAAAAACAGGATGTCCTCAGTTTGTAAAAAGGAGGGAATGAAGGAGTCTGTTACCCTTTGCCCTGAAGACTTCAAACCTCCCAGCTAATGAGTGTATTGCTGCTTTTCAAACAATAATGATGGACCTTAAGTTTCTTAAAAGGCCTCTTCTATTTACTTAGCATCAAAATAAAAAAGGCCATAATAATTGTATTTAATAAATTTTTTTAAATTTGATGATAAAGCTCATGAGAAAAGTCGGATTTTTTTTTTGCAGATTTCTGTAAAGTAAACCAGATTTTGTGAAGGCATGATATTAACTCTTTGTTTTCCCCCAGCGCCCCGCTCATGCACCGAGAGTGAGTATCGCTGTGACAACCTACGATGCGTTCCCAACCGTTGGGTCTGTGACCATGACAACGACTGCGAGGACAACTCGGATGAAAGGGACTGCGGTAAGTGGAGGCTCTTTGTTTTGGTTCTGGATCTGGCTGTTTGTGAGTAACGAAGGGCATCGCTAGACAAAGAAGCCTCAAAACCTGGATTCTGAAGGCCAGACGAACTGGACCACCAATGGATGCTTATTGAGGAGGAGATTATGCAGCCTGTTGCAATGCAGGGCAACAGTGTGCACGTTCCACAGGGCAGAAAACTGGTGTAAAACATCAAATTATAAGTTACACTAACTGTGGAATTAAATAAATTAGGAAAAAATAATTAATGGTTGTTGTCTTGGAAGCAGTTATACACCTACATGTTATCTTAACAGCTTTTTTTTTTTGTTAAGCAGAGCTGCGGTCGTGTCTTCCTGGCTACTTCCAGTGTGCGAGTGGACACTGTATAGCTGAACGTTTCAAATGTGATGGCAATGCCGACTGTCTGGACTACACTGATGAGACGTCATGCCGTGAGTACCATGCTGTTATTCTGCCTTATTATTGATGCAGAGCTGATCAATACATTGTCAACATTTTATACACCACTTTCTCCCATTTTGCATGACATAACTACGTCCTGATTTATTTGGTGGACCAACAGAAGTGGAGCATAATTACATACTGAAATAGTGGGGTACAGCTGTATTCAGTCACCCCAGGGCAACACAAACAGAAACACCTCTAGCTGAAAGCAAAACAGGCCAAGCCAGTCAGTTGGATCTGTGGACTTCTCTCCAAGTATTATTAACTGGATTTAAGGGAAAACTTTAAAAGGTCCATTCTAAAACATGATATATTTTCATCTTAACAAGTTCGTTGTAACTTCAGCTGTGTTTTCAGGGGTTTATGCTGTATGAAGGTAAACCTCATCCTCTGCTTTACTTGGTCTGCCTTCATCCCTGTCAACCATCCTTGTCTCTGCCAAAGAAAAGCATTGCAAGAGAATAATGCTTCAATACCATCATGTTTTATCATGTGAATAGTGTTTTTAAGGATGTAGTTTCTTTTAAACCTTCAGCTATTTATCTTTCTGCAAATAGTTAAACTTTGGTCTTATGTAACCAGAATATTTTTTCACATTATTTCTTTTACCCTAGTCAGCTTGTGCAAAACTGCAAAAAATAATTTTAAGACTTTTATGCATGATTAAAGGGCAACTTTCAATTAAAAAATACTTTTTGTGTTGAATTCTCAGGTAAAATCCCAATAAAGTACAAAGTCTGTAACTGTAAGAGAAGAAAGCAGCAACTGTTTTTGTAGGATTTTGGTTGTAGGCTACAACAAAAATGGTGTGACTTAGTGTGTCTAAGGCCAGCGGCGTAGGAAGCGGGGGGGACGGGGGGGACATGTCCCCCCCAATATAAAAGCCAGGTGGATATGTCCCCCCCAAAAATTGTACCGCAAAATATTAGATTTTGACAATTTTTAACTATCGTGCTTTTATTTTGAAGGCGCAGCATAGCGTTACGTCACTGTACTCCCCCTCCCCTCTGTGAACTGTTGAGTGTTTGAGCACTCAGAGGGAAACAGTGATACAGAAAGTCAGAAACTTGTGAATGAGGTAAAATGGTCTGTCTGGAATGCTGCTATGAATATTGCTTATTTATAACGTCTTGTTGTCAGTTCACTTTCATATATAGAAACTGAATCTTTTTGGTTTAGGCATCTTAGTCTTGTAGGAAGAGGATTAGGGCCACTGAAAAAAGTTAACTGATTTTTAATTTTTTTTAGTTTAACATTGGGGAAAAAGTCAGAATTCTGACTTTTCTCAGAATTCTGACTTTTTTCTCAGATTTCTGACTTTAATCTCAGAATTCTGACTTTTTTTCTCAGAAATCTGACAGATGATTAATGTTTCTAATCAATTTACAGTTTTTTTAGTGGTGGGGGGGGGAGGGGGGGGGCGTTGGTACTATACAGATATATAAAAACAAGAAGGTCTAACTAAAAAATAACCAGAATATATGTTTAGAGTAAAGATTGACTACTTGTGTTTACACAAGCACACAATTTCAAATCTGCTGAGCTTGCTGTGCAAGAAAATGTAAAATAGAAATAGAAATAAAAGAAATATAACAGGAAGTACTGCTAAAACAAACTAAATGTTAAATAATGTAGATATTGGTTTAAAAAATTCTTCAGATTTGGAAATTTGGAAGGAATACATAATTCTGAAATTAATCAACAAATCTGGTAAAAAAATAAATAAATAAATAAAAAATAAAAGTTGCACTTTTTTACTTGAGGAATTTGTTGAATAACTTCATAATTATGAGTTTAACTAGTTGGAGGTAATGCTACACTTCTCTGCTTCCTGTCCTGCTCATAAAAGGTAAACATTATAAACCCACCATTCATTTTCTACACTATTTGGAAAACACAACACAAATGTAATATAACAAAAGTATGTTTAACAACAAACATGTTAGCATCAAGCCATAGCCATGTCTGTTTTAGAGACTAGATCTCTTGTTTTAATGACCTTCTGCTCCTCCATTAATGGGGGGACCCCTCGGGCACGTAAAAAGTTGCCTAATTCTGTCATTTTCCACCAGTGTGTCACTGGTTCTCTCAAACAACTCACATCTTTGTCAGTGAAGCTGAGTGCTCCACATCTCTGCCTTCATGGTGCCCATCTACATTAAGATTCAAAATTCTGAGAAAAAAAGTCAGAATTCTGAGAAAAAAAAAAGTCTTAATTCTGAAAATAAAAGTCAGAATTCTGACTTTTTCCCGTATTAAACTGAAATAAAATGTAAAAGTCACTTAACTTTTTTTTTTCCAGTGGCCCTAATCCTCTTCCGTAGTCTTGGGCTGATCACTCATCCAATATTTAACTGCTAACTTTCTCTAGACGTTTGCCACGCTAGCCAAAATGTTTTTTTTATATATTTTTTTTAATATCTCATTTCAGTACAATGCCACCACCAACTAAAAGGCTGAAACAGCAGCAGGACTTACTCAGATTTTTTTAAAAGAGAAACGTCAGTGTGAGTAACAGTCACCTAACACAACTTGTGTTGAAATTAGCCTGGTCTGGGCGTGCGTTTTACGAGGATTTTTTATTTTTTGCATGGTTTTGATTCGCCGAAATGGACGGATGTTATACCTGTCGCGCTCCTGATCGTTAGTTAACCACAGGGAGAATTAATTCTAATTCTTAGCAGCGGCGGCCGCATTGGTCGTGCAGTGGACTGCTGCACAACCACTAATTAACCAACTAATTAACTTCTGCATCTTTATTTCCTCAAATAAACTTCTGGCTCCTCTTTTTAGACTATAAACAGATTAACACAACATTGACAACTCTGTAGTTTTCTCTGTTCTGTACTGCAAATTGGAATTAAAGGCGCCATTTCTACCAAAGGTCTGGACAGACTGGCCACCTGTCTAGGGTGGACCCCGCACCAGCACCTCCCGACCCCACTAAGGGACAGGGTGCACAGAAAATGGAAGGATGGATGGATTTCTACCAAAGGTTGATAATGCGTTTTTGAACCAGATGCTTCAAAGCGCCCTGTCCATAATTCTTCAACACACTGTCAGCTCCCTCTGTCAGTCAACCTATATAAATTCATTTTTGACCATTATTGCAAGTTTGACAAAATAAAACATATCAAACTTTGCACTTGTGTGGCCTACTGAATTGTTTTGATTTTCTAGTGCGTATGCGGACACTAAATATGCCAAGGGCTGAAGCCCTTGAAAGACATCTCCCTTTGCTTAATAAAAGACTCCAGTCATTTTGTTTGGTGATATGCTCACATCTTATGAACAAATGCATTATGTTAATTTTAAATGCATTATTTTTGCAAACACATTTATAAAGGAATAAAGTAAAAGATTAAATAGCCTTTTTTTAAGTAGCGTACTTAAGATATGTTTCTGTTGAATATTTACGAATCTCAGATTTCCGACATGTGTCCCCCCCAATTGTAAACATATTCCTACGCCCTTGTCTAAGGCTAATGAAAATTAAAGCATTTTTACATTTGGAACAAACTGTGTAAACACTAATACTCAAACAAGCATATATGTAGATGGTCTGAAAAACTTTTTAAAAACAGCCAGGAGATTGAACCAGAACTCAACTGGAAAAACAAGACCAGTTGAATAATAAATAGAAAAAGTTGCACTGCACTGCAACACACTCCAGATGCTGTACACTTAACCTTAAGTTGAAAATGGCAGAAACAAAGAGAAATTGAAGCAACAATGACTAAAATTGTAACAAATAGTATAAAATAGGAATGCATACTTTCTTTCCTAAAGAGTAGCAGAAGCAAGCTGAAGTCACCAACAAAAACATGGCTGATATGTCACAAACTCATAAGAAAGAGAAAAAGCTAAATACCTGCCATGAAAGATGGAGGAATCTAGCCAAAGTTGACTATATAAAACCTGCTGAGATCTAATAAAATAGCTGCAACAGCAGAAAAATGAGTATGGAGAAACTGAAATCCTATTTGGTTAAAGAAAAAATCTAGGCTGACGGATAATGACTGAAATGTTGAGGAATTAGGAGCTAAGTGTAAAACTGTTTGTTGAAATGTAGAGAAATGTCATAACTGTTGGAAATAATTCAAAAGTGTCAGTTGATGAAATTGTTTAAGTTTAAAAAGCTTTACAATCTGAAGCCAACAACATGCAAGGCAGCCCATGAGAAGCAGAGGAAGGGCAGAAAGAGAGGCTTATAGAAAGCAACTAATACCGCCTACTTAGCTGATGTTATCCTAAAACTATTAGCTGTATAAAATAACTGTTGAAATATTTAAAAAATCAAAGAGACAAAAAAATACAAGGCATGTGGAAGGATAAAATATGGAGGCAAAATTTGAGGAAATTATTAAGTAAGTGTTCCATAAGTTGTTGATACGTAAAATGATTTAAAAAAAAATTGTGAAAACAGAAAGACTTGTCAGTAGATAAGCTGAAGACACAACATTTAGGAAAAACACTGCATTAGAAGCTAAGTTAAAGGTATAGAGGATAATCTTTTATTTCCAGGTGGATCATCAAAATAATTGGCCTTCCAAATTGTCAATCATTCTGGCTTACTTAAGGCCGTCCTACGAGCTCGTCCCCAGTTTAGCTATCTTTTTCTGCACATGTGCACTTTCAGGCGTATATCTGTGGTGAGCTATGGTTTCAGACAGTCATTGAAGCTCACCTTTCTCACAGTGGTTCTTTGAAAATGGCCGAGGGTCGTAAGAGGAAAAGTGTCTACGAAGTGTATTAGAAGAAAAGAAAGGCCTCAGAAGAGGCAGATATATATCCTGGAATGCTTTGCGTGAAAAGCTCGCCTCACAAAGCATTATGGGATTGGCTGTCACGTTGCTGTAGGCTGTCACTAACCGACAGCAGGGAATAATAACAAAGATGGTGCAGGCACTACACAGTGAAGGAGGAGTTACGTGACCAACAGAGCAAGTAGTGATCATCTGTCTAAACAGTCAGTTAACTGAGTTCACTATAAAATCCACTATACAGTCCCCACTCTATATAGTGATCGAGGGATTATGTTTGTATGAGCTATGAGAACTTTTAGATAGAGCGTGCACGAGGAGAAATGGGGTTGTGCATGCTCTCGCACGTGCATTTTAAAAAAAGTGGACAGGGTTGGTCTTTAAAAAAATTCCCCAAAATCCTCCAGAATACCTTTATAGTGTTGAAAAGTTGAAGAAATGTAAAATATGCACAGGAAGTTAAAATAGCCAAGTAGAACTTCCAGTAAAAATGTAAATAAAGCATTTCCATAAATAAAATAAAAAAGTGTTAGAAATCAAAAAGTGGATTTCAAAGATTCTCCTCTTGGTTTAGATTAATGCAGTCCAGGTTTGAAAAGTCTAGCTGTTAAATTTTCTCAGTTGGACCAGTTAGAACATAATCAAAATAAAAAAATCCATCAAGGCAGGTATAAACCTAATCTAGTTTAAATGTAGTAAAATCAATTACAATGGTTTCTTATTAATCTTTTAAAAAATAAATAAATACAGGGTTCACAAGTCAAACTAAACCAGTTTTCATAATAAGTATGAAATATGAAATAGCTTTCATAATAAGTTTGAAAATGAGGTGAATACTAACCCAAGAAAACACAACCTGAAACAAAGTTACAAAACAAAGGACAAAACTCAACATTAAATCTATCTAACAAATTGAATTCCTAAGATAAAAAGACATGTCATAGCTGATATTCTGGTGCTAAAGGGGTTTGACAGAAGTGTTCTTTCCTCCAGCGACCCGCTTTCCCAACGGCACATACTGCCCACCGTTCCTGTTTGAATGCAGGAACCACATCTGTGTCCAGCCCCAATGGAAATGCGATGGAGATAATGACTGTGGAGACAACTCTGACGAGGAGCTGCATCTCTGCTGTAAATAACAAAAAAATAACAACAACATAGTTCTGGTTTTTGCTGTGATTAAATAAACATCCCATGAATAATTTATTTTTAGTTTGAACTGACAATTTTAGGTGTAATGGTTCTGTTTTTTCATAGTGGACATCGAGTGTGAGGCTCCATTCCGTTTCCGGTGTGATAACAACCGTTGCATTTACAGCCCTGAGCTGTGTAACTCTATTGATGACTGTGGTGATGGTTCTGATGAAAGACCAGAAAACTGTGAGTACGATTCCCTCAGTTACAAATATGATGGCTGACCTAATAACTTGTTTGCTTTTAAGCCTCACTATTCCAGTGTTTTTATTTACATATGATAGCATCCGTGTCACTGTTTACCCATTGGCTCCATGCAGGTCAAAAACCCACACATGGACCTTGTGCAGATGGGGAGTATAAATGCAGTAACGGACAGTGCATCCCCATACAGTACGCATGTGATGATTATGACGACTGTGGAGACGAATCAGATGAGCTTGGCTGCCGTAAGTCAATAGAAAAAATACCATAAAACAAAAATAATATCTTATTAGTGTCAACTGCACCTAATATAGCAGATTTCTAATATTGCTGCACTAAAAATCAACTGTAGCAATTTCCTTTTACAGAATTAGTTGAACTTTTCAATGTTATTTTAATTAGACAAATATTTTTATTTATTTAAATTACATTATTCAAAAAGATTAAACCTATAAAAGAACATATTGACCATATTTAAACTAGAATATGTGAACAACTTACATATGTTCACTTTGTGGTAAACAGAATTTAGTTTGCTAAATTGACAATTTTACTGTGAACATCTTGGATATTCCCATGAAAAACAAGGATTAGCTCCTGTGAAATTAATGGATTATTGTCTTATCTCACCAAACTCTATCTTCTCTATATACATCAAGATAGTTTTCAGATTATTTAAGCATTTGTAATCTTTCAGTGTTACTTTGTTTTTACAGAGGATGATGTTATTTATCACAGGCTGTTATCAAACCTATGGCCTATTGATTGCAGTTTAGTTTATATGTTTTGTAGTGATCGGATTAGTGCTCACTATTAGAGTTTTTAGTCCAATTTAGGGCTGCAACTAACGATTATTTTGAAAATCGATGAATCGGACGATTATTTTTTCGATTAATCGGACACAAAATATTTTTTTTATATTAACCTCTTTATTCCAAAATAAACATTTTAGACAGAACAAACAAGCACACAAGTACAGGTTTCTCATTAACTGTACTGGTGCTATATGAAAAATAAATGTTTGTGTTAAAACTATGCAAACTTACATGAGAAATGTAGCTGTACATCCACAAAATATAGGGTCCTTTGTTTCATAAAGCGCAAAAAAAGACATTTTTGTTTTTAAAAGCCCCTAAGGGGCTGAAACAATAGGTCCCCCCCATTTCAACAAATTAGTTTTTTTTAGACTAGAAGAGTTCTGCCTTTTAAGACAGGAAAGTATAGCAGTTAAAGTTGCTACTTAAGAAAATACTTAACCATAGAGATAAAAATAGCCCTGTGATTCAAATTATAAATTGAATTTGGAATAAAAATGAGAGAACTAGGGGTGTTAAAAAAACACATCCTCCAAAGACAGATATTTACATGGGAATGTGGCATATAATTAATAGACATATTACTGATCTTGCTGGATTTTATTCTGCTTTACTTCCATAAATTGCAGGATCTTCTTTACTTTATCTTTGCCAGAAGATTTAAACTTTAAAAGCCTTGCCCTCATAATTTGCAAGTTAATTTATTTATAGAGAAAATATAAACGCTGCTTAAGCTAATTCAAATGAAATTAAAAGTAAAATAAGAAGCCAACCTTATCACTGTCTGTAACCTACTAACACGGTAAGGAAAGCATCAGATGAGCTACCTGAGAAACTAACTTACGTTTCCCCACTTTAAAATGAAACAAACATGGTTACTCATCCTGCTGATCAGCTATCTTCACTGCCATTGAAGGCTCCAACGTGTTTTCTTTTCAGGTGCTGCGTCATAACAGTGGTGCTTCCGTGCCATGCTCATTTGTTTTTTACAAAAGTTGCATGTTACGACTTTTTTCACTTTACAAAGCGCAGGCTATTTTAATTATTGTGATCAATTTGCGCCGTCAATCCCGGGGCATGCGCGCTTCATTTGCAGTCTGGACGCTGAGGGTAAACTCCTCACTAAAATCCTGCGGCTCGGACTGCACGCTGAGAGGGATTCCTGTGGGAGAGGGAGAAAGGCGTTGGGATGGGGGAGGCGCCCCACGGCAGCAGCTGCCGCTGGAGGACAAGAGTAGGAACGATACATGCTTTCACGTAAGAGTCTCCAAAAGCCGCCAGTGACACCGTAAAAAGTCGCCAGATTTGTCGCTAGTCGCTTTTTAAAAAAATAGTCGCTGGAGGGGTCTGAAAAGTCGCTGAGTTGGCAACACTGCAACTGCGGCGCTGACTCGCTCCGCCATATTTTTTTTCTTCCCCGGGATGACGGCGGCGGCGGATGACGCATTAATCGCGCGACACAACTAATCGATGATTAAATTCGTTGCCAACGCTTTTAAACGTCGATTTTTATCGATTTTATCGATTCGTTGTTGCAGCCCTAGTCCAATTACTTCAAATAGTCTTTATTTGATGTTGATTTTTGATTTGATTTTTTTAATTTAGATATGTCAGGTTGGGTAGAGGCTTTGAGGACCCAAATGTAGGGTGACCATATTTTCATTTGGGAAAACCAGGACACCTTGAACGGGGGGGGATTGAAAGAACAAATGTGTCATCATCGGGATTTGCTCCGCCGTGATCAGAGGAAAGGTTACTTGGTGCAGAACAGTGGTGAAAATTGGAAGTTCAATGTGAATAGTTCCGTCTGAAATTAATGAAAATAGTTTTTTTAATGGTTATAGAGTCAGATATGTGGCGGTAATGTTTGATTTATCTAAAGGTTTTTATCTGTTATTGTGTAAATTAGTTTGGCTGTAATTTAAGGACAGATTCTAATAGATCTGCAGAGTGGGAACTATAAATCTGATAGGAGTTTAATTTTTTTATTGTTGTTTTGCACAATATGCTTAACTGTCCATAGCTGCATATATTTTATACATATAAGTATTTTTTGTTGTTGAATGTTAGAGATTTTGCAGATATATTTTTATACATATATTGTCTAGATTTACGTATGTATTTCTAACCCTTTTATAGTATAGAAAATCCCTTTATTGTCCCACAATGGGCAAATTTACAGCAGCAGAAAGATTATTGAAAATAGTCACACAAATGAGGACCTTAGAAAAATGTCTAAGAATAACATAATAGGGAAGAGTTAAAATATAAACAATAAAATACTGTAAAGTGTTTTAACAATATAAAACTGGAGAATTAATAACCAATATGCAGCTATGGACATTTTTACAGTAATGGATATTTGAAAATAGCAGCAACATCAGAGATGTGCAGAATGACAGCAGCATGTTATTTAACTGACTAAGGTTTCTATCATTACATTTGATTTTATTTGTTCATGCTACGGTGGTTGGAACCTTTATTCCACTCTGGATTCTTGTGAGTGTAGTCTTTGTTAGTTTTAACTTTTTTTAAAATAAATAAATAAACAAACAGTTTTGAAAACCTCGGTATTCATTCTTTTCCTGCTTTGTGTGTCAACTTTCACGGTTGCTAAGCAACAGAGCATGCGCCGGTAAAACCCGCCGAAGGGTGGACCTGTTCGAATTTACAGCCAAAACTCTTCTGGCCTCCTTATTTTCAAGGACTTCGAAAGGATCCAGTCTAGGTAGACCGCGTCCTTGGAGGATGCAGCCCAGGTTTTCGAACAGAGCCTCTGATCAGGGATTACGTCACACGGAGTGTCGCGCGCAGTATTTTAAAAAATCAGGACATTTCCTCACTTTCTAAAAAAAACCCGGGACGCCCGGGACAGGACGTGAAATACGGATATGTCCCGGGAAATACGGACGTTTGGTCACCCTACCCAAATGCAGAGATGAGTTTAGCTGATTTAATTAAGGACTAACAGGCAACTGAGCCAAAAATCTAGAAAAATACGAAAAACCAAACAAAATCCTGTAAATTTCAGGGAAAATACACATAGGGAGCAACAAAACAACAAAAAAACAGCAAACAGGAACTGCAGAGGTGGTGTATATATGAGGAACGGAATAAAGGATGGGCTAATGAGCTGATATGAAGCAGGTGTGAATAAGGACAACTAGAAGGGAGCCAAGGGGAAGGAACAGGCACAAGGGGGCAACAGAGAGTAACTAAAGAAATACCTAACAGACAGAAAACAACTACAGAGAGCAGAACCATGACAGTAAGATTTCAAATAATAAGGCATTTATTTGATATTTGCCAAAGAAATCATATATTATAGGCAATTTTAGAACTGAAAGGTTGAAGTAAATTCATTTTCAACGTAGGTAAGCCAAATTATCAAGCTAGAGAGTACAATGTCAGTTATAAGTCAGCTAATCCTTCATTCTTTTCTCCTAACGAATTATTAATTAACTTTATTGTTTTTTATCTTACATTGTATTGTAGCTACACAGGCACCAGGACATAAAAAAAATACCTCTGATCTGTATGAAACTTGAAAATAAAGATCTCTATGTTTCTGTCTCCATAGTTAATCCAGATTATTTTGTTGCCTCTAAATTTTCTCCATATTTATCACTGGGTGCACTGGTTTCAGATGCAGGTCATGAACATACATGTAGTGCAAACATGTGTGAACACAACTGCACCGACCTGACCGAAGGAGGCTTCCTTTGCTCGTGCAGACCCGGTTACCGGCCCAAGGCCACAGAGAAACATACCTGTGAAGGTGAGTAACCCGCTCCCCTTCACTCAGTAGATTTCTGTTAAACTGGCACAGTTTTAAATGCTTGTTATCTCCTCCTTTCTGGGCGAGCAGATGTGAATGAGTGTGAGGTGTTTGGAACGTGTCCTCAGGAGTGCAAAAACACAAAAGGCAGCTATGAATGTTTCTGTGCTGAAGGCTTTCTGTCTTTTGGTGAGCCACATGGGACTGAATGCGCTGCTCAAGGTAAAAGTTTGGCAAAAAAAAATGTTTTCCTTTTTTTTTTGTGATTATAAATAATTTATTCCAATTCAATTTCTGTGTAGGAAATCCTCCGGTGCTACTCTTGCCAGACCATATCCGTATTCGACGTTTTAATCTGTCCTCTGAGCAGTATTCGGATTATGTGGACAATGCCGAGCACATTCATGCCTTGGACTACCAGTGGGATCCAGAGGGAGAAGGCCTCAGTAAGTCTATTCCTTTACAGTAGGCATCTCCAACATCAGTCCTTGTGTGTCGCTGGTGTTCAGCCTGGACGTGCATGCAGAACTGGAGTTGGATGGCTCTGCTTTTAAATATGAAGGTCACCAGGTAGAGAAACATTTCCCTTGTGGTCTGTAGGTGTTGTTTACTGGACAGTTCTCGGTCGGGGTTCTCAGTTCGGCTCCATCAAGCGCGCCTACATGACCACGTTCAATGATTATGGGAACAACCCAGTGAAAGAAGTGGACTTGAACCTGCGTTATCTTGCCAAACCTGAGGGCATCGCTGTAGACTGGGTTGGCAGGTAAGTAAACATAATTATCAAATTTTATTCTGGAAACAGCTGGTGCAGGTCATCACATTTAAAACCACTCCCCACAGACATATTTACTGGACAGATTCAGGAACCAACAGAATTGAAGTGGCTAAACTGGATGGGCGATACAGGAAGTGGCTGATCTATACTGACCTTGATCAGCCGGCAGCTATCGTTGTCAACCCATCGTTAGGGTAGGAAGTGTTGCATTAAAAGCCTGTGTTTCCATCATGTTTGCAAAAATGAATTGTTGTATAACTATCTCTGAGCAGGATGATGTACTGGACTGACTGGGGGAAGAATCCCAAAATTGAGGCAGCATGGATGGACGGGCAACACAGAGAGGTCCTGGTGAAGGAGGAAGACCTAGGATGGCCTACTGGGCTGGCACTGGACTATATTAATGGACACAGAATCTACTGGTGTGACTCCAAAGAAAATATCATTGAGTCCATGAAGCCTGATGGCACAGACAGGAAGATTGTCATATCAGGAGGTCAGAAAGTGAAACTTATTCTATTTTTTAGCGAGTATAATGGAAAACCCTGATCCTAATAGATGATTTTCTTTAGATATTGGAAATCCCTACAGTCTGGATGTCTTTGAAGGACACGTGTACTGGACAACTAAAGAGAAAGGAGAGGTGTGGAAGACAAACAAATTTGGGCAAGGAAATAAAGTTAAAGTCCTCACAATCAACCCCTGGTTGACACAAGTCCGTATTTACCAGGAGCATCGGCACAATCAATCAGGTCTGAATTTAACTCCTTACTGTACTAATAGGGGGCTGTTGGCATCACCTGCAGACCTCTTTCCACTGTAATAAAGAACTCACTTATTTTATTTAGGAAAAAAAAGATTAATTATAAAGACCAAGCCCTTTTTTTTTTTACTATGATGATTTTCTGCATACAGCAATTAAAAACAAGCATTTACGATTACATTTTAAGATCAAACGATAGAAAAAAAAACATTTTAAAAGATACTTAAATCTTGCCTCAAAATGTCTAAATATGCCTGCAGATTACATACCACAGTTAAATGAGATAATCTAGTCTAAGTGTTTAGAGCACATGCAAATGCCTGGTCCTCTTATAAAGCTATATTTAAATGTAACTAATGTTTGATGTTTAGCTGAATAAATAATCAAATGTACTGATGTAGAACAGTGTTTTGAAAACGGATTATGCATGCTCTGTCCTTGTTAGTGTCCAACCCATGTAAGAATGTCTGCAGTCACCTCTGCCTCCTCCGGCCTGGAGGGTACACCTGCGCCTGCCCACAAGGTTCCCCTCCACTAAATGCTGAATCAACAGAATGTGATGCAGGTAAATGACAGTGGCCAGATCGCTCCTCCCAACAGCTGCCTTGTGTTTGCATTGATGTGGCATCTTATTTTGCATTCATACACCTTTTTCTCCCAATTGTGTAGCATGGCTGCTCATGTTTGTTGTGTTTTCACTGTGCTGGTGTTCATCCTCTGTATGCTCGGCTTTTGCTTCTACAGCCATTGAGGCTCCTGTTGCCATGCCTCTTGCATGCAGATGCATGAATGGTGGAACCTGCTACACCGATGAAGGGGGTCTGCCAAAGTGCAAGTGAGTGTAGCTGTAGGAGACATTTTTAGGGCATCCGGAATGTTGTTATATTTGAATATGCACAGAACTTTACCATTGCACTGTGTTACATTATTGAATTTAATCATCTTGACTTTTTAGATGTCCATATGGCTACACTGGTAGCTACTGTGAGATGGGGAAGTCTAGAGGTGCTCCAGCTGGTACAGGTACAATATTAAAGTTTCATATAACCCTTTTTTTATATTGCATATATGGCCATACAAAAATATAGGGACACGATATGAAGTGATCTGTAACGATATCAATTTCCAATACTAATACTATCATTATGGCCATGACTACATGGAAATAAAAACCGGTTCTCAATATTGACCTGGTTTTGTGGCCAACGCTGGCCGATACTGTACAAATAGCAATATATGCATTATATAAAATCTAACAATCTAGAATTAATCCTTTCTGCATAATTTGGCACACATGCTACATTTTCCATTGTGCATGTAACACTTTTTAAGCAACTGAGATTAAATGCACATTGGATATTGATAGAAAGCCAGGTAATCCACATATTATAACAGAAATTAAAACAAACGGGTGTACAGATTAAGCTGTGAGTATAGCTGTAAACATGTCTACAAGTGTAGAAACCAGTTAGCATTCATTGTTTAGATGTGAGCTCCAAATGTTCTACTATACTTATTCTTTTTATGTCATAGGGTTCCAGTTGCTTCCTATGTGCAGTTTGTTTTTAACACATTTCCAACCAGTCTCATATCAGTTGTTTGACTTGCTTTTCCTTCTCTGAATCTACCTACTGTGATTCTTCTTGGTATATGCAGTGCCATTCTTTCATCAAACATGGTGTAAAGATTGATGCCTCCTCCTGGGGTCCGTTTCACAAAGCAGGTTTAACAAATTCAGATTCCAATCTTCAACTCTAAATTGATCTGGCCAAAAGTCAGGAACTCTTGAGTGTTCGGTTTCACATTTAACTAATTCCACTCAGAGTTAAGCACATGCGCATCAAGTATAAAAAGCCATTATCAGTGGTGCACCGATTCGAAGAGTCACCATGACAACAGGCAACAGGAAGTGCCTATTTCACCCCACTGGAACTAGAGATTCGAATGAAGAAATGCAAAAAAAAAAAAAAAAAAAATAGAGTAAAAAAGGAGACTGTGTTTAAAAGACAGAGAAACAGCGCTATTGCTATAAATGAGAGGAAGATGGCGAAGGAAAAGATTGTTGTTGGTTTATATGAAGTGGGCTATGGCAGGCCGTTTTTACATACATTAAAAGCACTTCCCTCTGTTGTTCAGTTTGTAGATCACTAAAACAAGATTCTTCCTGATCAAAATAACACTCCTAGACCTAACTGTAATAACATACTTTCTAAATAAATTTTTTGTCACAGAAATTGAATTTTAGAAAGTATAAAACTTGTGAGAATTAAGTTTTATATATCTAGAAATATTTACACATTTTAGGTGGCCTTTCTGACATTTATCAACTTAACTGAAAATGTAATTATGATATGAATATGAAGATCTGAAATTAATATCTAGACATCCAAAATGTTTATTCTAGATGTGGCTTGCCATAGGTGTTGTTACCATGATGATATTACGGGATGACTTCTTGAATGGTAATAGATCAATGTTTCTATTTAGGTGAAATCTTCTGGCAGCAGGTGAAAATAAAGTCTAAAAACGTTGTTCTAATCTATAGAACCTGTGGATCATCTCATGTGTCCCTCATGTTGATTCTGTCTTCTTTTACACAGTAAAGTGGCTGTTTCCAGCTGCGCCTTGGATGTTATCATCCCAATAAATGGTCATTATTAGCCGTTATCAGTCCCATAGAATGACTTCAGATTGTGCCAGTAGGCTCATTATGTTGTTATCGAGTGAATCCTAATACTAACCCTAAATTAATTCCTTTACCCCCTCAGAATTAATGAATCTATTTATGTGTAATCTGAAAATAATTTCAATAGTTCTTCCTGTACTGTCTATATAACTAAATAAACATAAAACGATCTGCATCTCGCTCATATTAAACAAACCAAAAACAAGTAATCTCATATCCTGTCAACTGAGAGGTAGAATTCTCTACCTATAAATATTTAGTTCTCTGTGAAAAAGTGCTAATCATTCTTTAATAGGATCCTCATCAAACAGACATGTAATATTTGTTTTTAAAAACTAATGTGTGTAACGGACCTAATTAATGATTTTTTTCTTTTTTATATACACAAAACTACGACAAAAATCATACTAAATCAGGAAATAAAACAGCGTGATTGGCTGTAGGGAGACAGGAGACAGAGGACACTCTGAGCCTACTGAACAAAACCTGCTACCGACCAGGTTAGCTCTGGGGAGAAAGTTACTACGGTTACTGAAACAGAGGCTGAGGAAACTCTCTTTGTGAACCGGAACAGTCAGAGTTTACCTGTTTTCAGGTTTAGACAACTTAGAGTTTTTGATAAACCTGCTTCGTGAAACGGACCCCTGGAGGGTGATATGATCTAATTTATTTTTTTTTATTTATTTTTACACTTGGACTAGGCCTGTTTCCACTGTTTGCTACTTATTTTATGTCAGTATGTTCTTAAAAATATAGTTACTGATAAAAACATTGACATGTTTGATACTCATTCTTGTGTTAGATGGGAATGGCTGCACTATGCTTGCCCTGTTGAAGCAGATAAAGGAAAACCCTGATGAGTGCAGACTTTAATGTAGAGCAAGGAAAAATCTTAGTCAGCAGCTGCAGAGAACTTTCTCAACAAAAAATTATTTCTTTAATAAAAGTTTAAATATTCTTGCAGTCAATCCAAGGTTAACTTCCTTAACTAACTTGCTTGACCTAAAAGATCATGGAAATGTAGTCATGGGTCAGTAAGATGTCAAGGCATCACACAGAAAAGAACTCCACTCCTCCATGCTTGAGCACATTGCTGCACTCTATAAAAAAAAAAAAAAAAAAAAAAATACAGGACATTAGTATATATTTAAAGCTACAGTGTGTAATTTTCAGCGACATCTAGCGGTCAGACTACAGACCGCAGCAACATGAACATCTCCCCCCCACCGCTTCTCCCCCCCAACAGTACGGCGAGCGTTACGGGACAAAATTTCTTCTACGACGTCCGCATCACCTACCCTCTCAAGTGATGAGGTTTGTTTACATAGATAATTTTACAGATAGTATTTCATTAGTCTGTGTAGGGTATAGATTTCATGTAGACTTAAGATAATAAATATACCCGTTATTTTTTCTACATCGTTGTGACGTCTTGGTGAGCTGCTTTGCATGGTGATATAAACAGACGAAGTAATTGTAGTCATTAGTTTAACAGCGAGATTGTGTTCGCTGGAAGAATATATCCCCCGTTTACAGAGTCCAAGTCATTTTGGTGGCACGGGGGTTACAACGCGAGGGAGAGGGAGAGGACGAGGGCGAAGGCAGGGAGGCCGTGCAGCTAGGGCCAGGCGAGAGAGGGGAGCCAGCGGGGTGAGAGCAGAGGAGGAAAGGCTTGAAGATCTCCAAAGGAGCCGGAGAGAAGTAACCGAGGTATATATCCAGAAAATTATTTTACAGAAAATTACTGAATCATTACCTGTGAAACGTCAGGGACGTTGCTGAATAAGTATACTGGAGAGTAACAGCATCATCACGCAGCATGTTATTGTTTTAGACAGGTCTGAGCATCCTGTACTCCAAAAACTGCAGTGATATTAGACAATTGTGTGTATAGGATTAATTACCTGTCCAAGAGAAAACTGGCAACTTGAGCGTCACTTTGAAAACCTTTTTCCTCCATCAGTGACTTCCATCGTGTAAATGCCGTGCCAATGTTGATCCGTGTTTTTTGCCGTTTCTTGTCACGCTTGCGTTTATTCTCGTCGTGTTTCCGCTTCTTAGATGACGGGGGTTCGGTGTCCGCCGCTTTTCGTTGTGATACAGAGTAGGCATGATCCTCCATTCGTCTGATGTTTGGCCACACAGTGCCAAACAGTTTGCAAAGTCACTCACGCCTGCCGCCTTGTTCACCTTTCTTGTTACTGAGGCGCAGTATACCTGCTTCTTCTTCTTCTTCTTTGGTTTCAGGCAGACTAAACGCTTCTCAGGCATAATACTGCCATCTACTGTTCAGTACCGTCTCAGTTAATCTCTCTCAACTTGCCGTAGTTATTTTTGAGCGTCATGGGAGATCTCGCAATCGCTAGTTTGTTGCCTCTGCGCTTGCCGTAGCGCAAAGATGTCAGCCTCCATGGCTGCGAGACCCGCTCCTATGTAATTATAAATAACGAATTCTAAGGCAACGCAAATATTATGGTTAAAAGGCTGAGCTCATAGGTGATGATAAATAACATAGTTATGTATAATATATTAAATTTCTGACTTTATATGCCTGTAATTATTACACACTGTAGCTTTAAGTTTATATATGTAATTCATTTAACGTCGTATTTTTGTTTAAACTGCACTGTAAATTATTCTGATAGCTTGAAATGTAACATTTTTCACATCTCAACCAGACGGCAGAATTGCACTTTGGAGGTTTTATGCATTAGAGTAAAACAAAGTGATGCATTATTTAAGAATGTTTTTTTTATTTTTTACCAAAGACAATAATGAACTCGCACACTATTGCTCCTGTTACAGGTGCAATTCATTGGGGGTATGTATTAGCAGTGTAATAGTAAATATATTTACACTGAAAGGTTAGATATAGGCCTTTCAGTTTGACATAAATACTAGTGAACAAATACAGCAGTTTTACGCCTGAATACAACCAGAGTCTTATTGCACAGATCTACATCTCTGGAATGTTGTGTTCTGATATCTATAGACTCTTTTATATGGTAATTATAAGATTTCATATTCAGCTACACTGATGATTAAAAAGAAATTTAGACGGAACAAAATCCACTGGAGTGTTTGTCATAGTTACTAGGCCATATATTGTTTTATATTCTTATATGGAGCAAAAAAGAGATCAAGAAGAAATCATGAATATGAAGTAATTATCACTAACTCTGATCTTTAGTGAAACTCATTTTTGATTGTTTTCCTTTGTTTTCTTTTAGCGGTGGCTGTTCTGTTGGCCGTCATTATTATCCTGATTACCGGAGCTTTAGCTGCCGGAGTTTTCCTCAACTACAGACGAACAGGATCTTTTATCCCCTCTATGCCCAAACTACCCAGGTATCATTTTGATTGGCTTCACGTTTTCACTTTGATTTCGGGTTTTCCTTAGAGTCACAGCGGAGTATTTAGATCAGAGTTCAGGTTGGGTTGTTTTGTTTTCGTTCAGCCTCAGCAGCCTTGTGAAGTCAGCCGACAACGGGAACGGGGTGACGTTTCGGTCTGGTGATGATGTGGACCTCGGACCGTCTAACATTGGAGTATCTGTGATCGACACAGCCTTGCAGATGGTGAGCCCTGGAGATGAGTTAATGTTAAATCGATCCCCTGAAAATGTTTGGTCAGCCATTTTTTTTAACCAACTTCTACCATGACAAGTTATTTGTGATGTTTATTAAAGCAGTTTAGTCTTTAACGTCACCTTAGGAATACAGCAGCAGACTTTGGGTGATGAGAATAAAAGAAAAGGCTCAATATTAGTATTTTGTTATTGATTATGTTCTTATATTTATGATATTCCTATAGGATGATAATTTTGCCATCACTGCTGGGCGTCACCCAATCACATTTGAGAATCCCCTGTATGCCACTGCGCCTGTTGCCGGTGATCCTGCTGTCATTCATGCTACACAGGTAAATACGCTTTATCATTGCTCCAACTGTTCAATGGAGTTGGAGTTACATACAGATATTTAATTCTAATACTGATCCAAAGATCAACAATTAAACTTACCAAGCATGACTGTTTAGCTGCAGAACCTCTCAGAAAATAAACAGAAAATCACACAAAATGGACGTCACATGAAGCTAATATCAAGAGATAAAATATTCATACAATAGAAGTTTTTCTTTCATAACAGGAGGAAATCTTTGTTTTGGTCCAGCCAGAGTCCCCACTGAAATCTGATGGAGATTTTACGCAGGAAGTTCTAGATTAGGTTGTTGGAAAACAGGCATTCCAATCTTAAATGCATGGAGCTGATCAACAAAGATGAAAGATCAAAGTATCAGTGGAAACATGCATAAAGGTGGTCATCAATTATATGCAAGGATTGATTGAATTAATTAGAATAAGAGTTTGTAAATAGTTTTTGATATTAAAATAATTTGACACGCACTGATCTTATAAAATAGGAATATACAGTTTTAAGCTTTGTTTTATTATTATTTGAGTGTTGCTGTCAAATTTATGGCTTTCATTGTGTATTTGATATTCTCAAATAATAAAGAGTATTTATTCACAAAATCACAAAATCAGTTTTCCAATCTAAATCTTCACATTTTTGCTATGAGTTGTTCCCTATCGATCATAATAAGCACAGACTGACCAATCAAGAGTTTTGTCCTCAATAACCAAACTCTGGTTTTATAAAGGATTACACAACAGTGCAACATTTAGAGTTGCTGCCTTGCAGGAAATAGGTCCTGATTTCAGATCTCTGAAATCAGGACCTATTTCCTCCTTTGTGACTGACTCTCATCGAGTCAGTCACAAAGGAGGAGGGTTCCTGAGGGGAACTTAGATGCAAACAAAGGGAAGCAGAGTTTGAGCAAAAAGCCAGGAGGTTTAATCATATAAAAAGGCGGATTAGAAAAACACAGCTAAAGGTCCTAAAACGAGTAAACTAAAGTTTATAAAACTGATTAATGAAAAAGCAAACCAGGAACATTAAGTGAAGACAAGCAAACTTAAAAAGAACTGAGTAACAAGGATAACGATGAGATGAACAAGAAAGAGAAGTGACTGATGAGCAGAGTGGTAGCAGCTGAGTTTGCAATCAGACAACAGCAGCATAAAAAACCTAACCCACCTAGATATAAGAAACCCAGAACCTGCAGGAGAGTGGGAAACTCAGATGGTAAGAAAACAGAAAGTGAACAGAACACTTTACAGTAAGGGTCAGAAAAGACAAAATGGGGATCTATTAAGAAACCAAAAATACATCTAGATACATTCCAACAAGATAAAGTCAAATTAATGACAGAGTCTTCAGGATCACACAGGGGTTCAGTACCCTACCTTCTCTCCTCCTATATAGACCCATGTTTTGTTCCTCTAAACCTCCCTTAGCGGTGGGAGTGGGCATGCAGGATGGGTTTCCCTGGGACAGCTTCCGGCTATAAGAAAGGTGCTTCAGAGTTACCACACTGAAACTTTTAAATGCCTCCAACACCACATCCATATATCTTGGAAGTTTCTACAATTGTGTCAGAAAATGATAGTTGTTTTAAAAAAAATAAATAATATATATATATATATATATATATATATATATATATATATATATATATATATATGACCATATGGTCCATTTAAAAAATAAAAAAAAAGTCTTTTGAAACAAGCTCCTGTTTTAACTGATTTGACTTCATATTTATCTCACTATCATTGGCTAAAGTAGAGGTGAAGTAATGCAGTAGGAATCTCATAGCTCACCCCTACGAGGAGCAGGATCGGGACATCCCTACTTTCTACTTGATAATCTTTTCCCAGCTAAGCAGTAAGGAGCAGACATGAGATCATTTTGGTGTTTTTTTGTGTTTTTTTTTCTGTCTCAAAGGGTTAAACACAAATAGAAATCTGAGCATTATTGCCCCCTTGTGGTTGCGCCAGTGGAAAGTCAGATCCTAAAACAACCCATCAAACAAAATGAAAATGTAGGGAAAAAAATTTACTTTATTGTTTTTAAGTGAAGTATAGATTAATTTTGTTGTAAGAGGGCAAACATTCATAAAACTAAGCCTTTCAGCCACAATATTCTTATGTAAACACAAATTGTCTTTATTTTTTATCAGTCTGGATAAACTTAAAATAAAAAAAATGTATAATAATGTAGAAAAAACTTTTTTTAATTGATAATAGGATTTAATTAAGTGGTATTTTTGATTTGGTTATGAGTTGTAAACATCTGTTAATATTAAGCTTTCTGTGTTCCCCTTTTTAGAACTAATTTGACATGTTCAATGGGGAGAGCATTTTTTTTTTTTACATCTCCATGCATCTTTTTCCTGTATTAACAGGTGACGGTTAATATGAGCGGTGAACAGCTGAACAATTTCGTGAACCCGGTGTACCACGCAGATCAGAGCGCAGGTCTTGTTAACACATCCGTCAGTAACCTTCCTACTCAGGTGAAAACCTTAAATTCACATCAGCGTTACTGAATTTGTTTCATTTAAACAATAAAGTAGAATTTTGACTCCATTTTTTTGTTGTTTTTCTTTTCAGGAGTCAAAGTGGAGCTTTTTTAAACGAAAATTGAAACCAAGCACAACATTTGAAAACCCTTCATATTCAGAGGTAGGTTTTAACCCAGCAGCCTTTGATGCCCTACTTAAAAAAAAATTGAATACACTAAACTTATTATTATTTTTTTTTACAGATGAAGGATGAGAAGCCTGAAGGAAACAGCGAGGACTCTTCTGCCCCAGAGCCGTCTCCATTTGCCCCCCCTGCAAAACCTTCAAAGAAAGAACGACCTAGCGCCTTCTCGCCAACCGAGGACAGTTTCAAAGACACAGCCAACCTTGTTAAAGAGGACAGCGACGTATAACCACTCCCTCTGACGGAGAGGAATAAAAAAAACACACTTTGCACAGAATTTATTTTTATATGCAGCCTGTGTACAAACTCAGATTGTGTTGGGACAGAGAGACATGCTAGAGCGAAGAGAATATCTTCTGTCACTATGCCTTCTGACATTTCTTATGCCAATTTTCTCGTTAATATTGTTTTTCTTATCATGATGTACAATATGTATATCTTTGCACTGAAGCTGTTGATAGTAATGTTACATATGCTGTACATTTGTAAATTTTCAACAGTGAGATTTTGACAGAAATAGATCCTTAGTCCTTCAACCTAAACTTACTATAACCAGTATAAAATGTGAGCCGTATTGTGACTGCACGGTACTTATATGATCAAAGATTGCCAGAGAATGATGCTGGAAAAGCTGATGATGTATTCCACGTTGCATATACCTCGATTCAGGGTTGACAAATGAAACTGGATTTTAACACACCCTGTATTTTCAGTGACACACTCCACTAGAAGCTGAAAGAACGGATTCTACTTGATCACACCTTTTTTTTTGTTTTATTTAATCAACGTGGTAGTTTGGAATGGCTAAAAGGATTTGGAAACTACTAAAAAGCGTGCATCTGTTGCATGTCAATGCAGTTTAAAGACTTGTAAAGTTATGATTTACACTTTTTTTTTCACAAAGTGAGCAAATACTTTGCTGGTTGATTGATCTTGTACTGCAATGAGAACAAACACCTGTGACTGTGCAGAACATGCCCGTGGGAATTTAATTTTTGCTGCTGACACATGAATGAATAAATTACCTATTTTGTAAAACTGTCTTACATTTTTTACAGTTTTCAGCATGAAACCTCAATTTGGGGAAGCTTGAGGAAACAGTTTTTTGCAGCAACGGTTACAAAAAAAACCTTGTTAGTCCTATAAATATTAGCCTAATTGTGACATTCTACTTGATAAACATTTGTATTCAACATATCTTTCTAAAGTTAAATACGTTAATGGCATGCCCTTGTCTCTAGACCACTCTTCAAATAGGAAAGACAAGACATGTCTAAGAATATATCACTTGCTAAATATACCAGTATCTACAGACAGAGCTGTAATCAAAGGGTTAAAAATTAGGATGGTGAACTATGAGGCTGGACAAAGACCAAAGTGGATATAGCAATCTATCCCATTCAGAAAAATGGGGTGGATTTATAATATTCCTGCATCTGTGGTATTAAGTGGTATTTTGTTTTAGATTATTGAATACAGTTTTAATATTTCACCTCCTTTTCCACATCGTCCCAAAGAAAAGTAAAGGATTTTTTCTCTCTCACACAGTTCATCACTTTGCAGTGTAGGTAACAAACCTGGAGTCACTCCACACGTCTAAAAAGCCAAAGCCTAACTCATTTTGACAAAATTAAGTTATACAGGATTGGACCAACTTCTCCATACACAAATACCAAAATGTGCAACAAAAGCATGTATTAATTCATACAAACATGTATTCCAACTCACCTACAGTCTATTTTCAGCTCATGTTAGAATGTGTGAATAAAGTAACAAGACATATTATAAAATTAAAAGTTCTGACACACAGACTAGCCACCACATGTTGTATAAGTGTTCAAAATGATTTCACAAGAGGTACAGGACAATATTCCAAACTTAAGTAATTATAAAAACAGTCAGTTCTAGCTCTTTAGAGAAAAATATTTCACTTTATTATCACTTTGTTATCCTATTATAGGCTGGCATTGCACACATTAAGTCTCAATCAGGCTAAAGCAAAAAGAAGCAGATATAATGAATAAAGGTAATTGTCAGAGCAGCAGGTGCATATTCTCACTCTAACTACCAGAACAGAGAGTGAAGCAAAAAAAAGGTAAACAGTACAGATTAATGACAGTATAGATAGTTTGCTATTGTATTTAGAAGTGTTTTCAGTCGGTATTTTTTCTGTGTGTGTGTGTTTTTTTTTTTCTGAGGACCTTTACTTACTATATTTAGAAAAAATATCTCTACTTTCTACTCCTTACTTCATCAAAACTATCAAAACTTATTTGTAAGAACCAAAACAGAGAGAAAAAAACGGAGCATGAAGAGAAACTGTTTATTTGTTTATAAGAAGAAAACACTGATAGTGTTATATCAGTGTGATAAAGCTTATAGTTTGAGGGGCTAATCAGGTTATCCTGAGCTTTCTCTATAGATATGCTGCTGTAGGCTTGGACTTCTGGAGGACATAGGGACCCCTTTTCCATCATTCTACATAATTCTATCTCTATTCTCCCACTCTGCAGAATCTGTTAATTCAATCTTTAATGTTCTGCTCTCTCTGCTTTTTCTCAAAGTAGCTTCGCCTTGTTTTTTCCTGTTTGACTGTGAAGAGAAATCCCAGCTGTGCTGTTGCCATCAACACCTTTGTTTATAGATGTTGGAGATCAGCCTGTTTTTCAGTGTATTCCTGTTTCTCTGACCGTGACTGGCTGGATGTGCTCTCTTCATCCTGACATGGGAGTTGGCTCAGAGCTCATCTGCCTGGCTGTGTGTTGCCTGGACGGAGCCGCCTTTTACAGTTGCCTTTTGTATCTCTGCCTCTGTCTCCTTGAACCCCAGTCAGCCTCAGCAGATGACCGCTCACACTGAGCCTGATTCTGCTGGAGGTTTCTTCCTGTCAAAAAGGAGTTTTTCCTCTCCACTGTCGCTACAAGCGTGCTTAGTGTGAGGGATTGCCTTTGAGTCAATGAGTCGATGCAATCAACTGGTTTTAATCTTAGATTGAAAACTTTGAATCAATTTGACTGTATGATCTGATGAACTCATGAATGGTTGTTTGTCCTGTGTGTCTCTGTGTTGCCCTGCGATAGACTGGCGACCTGTCCAGGGTGTACCCCGCCTCTCGCCCATTGACTGCTGGAGATAGGCACCAGCACCCCTCGCGACCCCACTTGGGACAAGCGTGTAAAGAAAATGGATGGATGGATGGATGGATGGATCTGATCAACTGTAGAGTGCCTTGAGAGATGACGTGTTGTGAATTGGCGCTATATACATAAACTTAATTGAATTGAATTGATATCGACATGGCAGATGTTGAATCAGATTATTTAGGCTGAATGTAGAACCTGTACTTTTTAAATTTTGTTTACATAACAGAGCTCAGTCAGTACTTTTATCCCCCCTTTTTTTCACACATGTACTGTATCTAAATTTTTACTTAAAGGAATAGTACACCCAAAACATGATTACCGTAGCCTTCATTTTCTACTCACCCCCATGCTGAACAACACTCTGGAGTACTTTTTTGATATCTCAAATGCATCTGGAGATCTGGGAGGCTTCTTGCTGTCTGCTGACATTCAAATAATGGAGGTCTATTGTGCCCGAGACAGAAAGGTCCATAAAAGTCCACAAAAACGTGTCAATATTCCTCCATACTGCTCGTCCAATGTATTCCAAGTGTCCTGAGTGGGTAGCATCCAGAATTTACTCAAAACGAAGTCATTTAGAATGTTTTTAGAGCATAAACAGTAGTGTATAGGATTTCCTGAAAGCGCGCACATGCGCGTTCACGACGCTACGGAAGCCGGCAGACCAAACCAGCGCATTCAGCTCGGCAAAGAACTCATGCTCTTCCTCAACACTGAAGTCCTCAGACATTTTTCTTTCGTTGTTTCTTTTTTTGCACAGGTAAACAGCACATTTCTTCTTCTACGCTTGCATTATTGGCAGAGCAGACGCTGAATGCGCACTTTCATCTGGTTTGGTCTGCCGGCTTCCGTAGGCTCGTGAACACGCATGTGCGCGCTTTCAGGAAATCCTATACACTACTGTTTATGCTCTAAAAACATTCTAAATGACTTCGTTTCGAGTAAATTCTGGATGCTACCCACTCAGGACACTTGGAATACATTGGACGAGCAGTATGGAGGAATATTGACACGTTTTTTGTGGACTTTTATGGACCTTTCTGCCTCGGGCGCTGGGCACCTCCATTATTTGAATGTCAGCAGACAGCAAGAAGCCTCCCAGATCTCCAGATGCATTTGAGATATCAAAAAAGTACTCCAGAGTGTTGTTCAGCATGGGGGTGAGTAGAAAATGAAGGCTAATCATGTTTTGGGTGTACTATTCCTTTAAGTAAAGAACATGAGTACTTTTACTCTGCTCTTTGGAAGTCATGGAAGATTGTTTCTTGCATTACATGCTTTATTTGCTATTGTCCTGGATTTTTGCTATTTTTAAAGATATGAAACATGCAAAGAATCCTTTGACCGTCCAAATGTCATTGTGATAACTCAGGAATGTGTTAGAAAGGTCAAACTGAAGAAGGCTGCTGACCCCCACAACATTTGTTTATTTATTTATTTATTTATTGCTGTGAACACCATTCAAGTAATGTTTTCAACTAAAGTTTTCAAATTTGTTTTAAAAGTTGATGAATCCCTGTGATTTAGAAATCATTAACTTTGAATCCCACCCCCCAAAAACTAATAAGATTTAGTTGATTTTTAACTCATGGCACTAAGATTTTGGTGGTAAAAAATATCTATAAGGATCCTAATAATATTACGCTCATATGTAGATTACAGTATAAACAGACCTACAACATTTTTTTTTCCTGTTAATAATTTTAAATAACATTCAGAAAACATAGCAGAGTTGTAACCTTTGGAACTGTACACTAACCTTTACGTCCACACAGGGCGGGGAGCAGAGTCACACATGGCTCAAGAGCCTCACGTTAGCCACCCCTGTGCTAAACCAATGATTTATGTGTGAAAAAGCTTCACTCGGTTTCTGGTTGCTAAAGTGCAGACTGAGAGATATTTTCACTCTCCCTCTGAATGCAGAGAATGTGCTAAAAGCTTCAGTAGGAGGATGATGAGGATGGTGATAGGGAGCTCCAGGTTACCCTTATCTCTCCCGGTGCTTAACTCTGACTGGCACCCTATCAGCGCTCATTCTCCTGTTCAACACGCTCCCCAAACTTTCTGCTTACAAACTTCACAGCACTTCTGATGCAGGATTGTCTTTAATCTAGATGCCTTGACCTTAAATATTTTCTGTATCCCTGGAGTTTTTTTTAACCTACCAAATGTCTCAGAGAGTGTGTCGATCACTCACCTAGTCCACTAAAAATCTTAGAGTAAGTCACAAAGCATTGCTTTGATTAAGCTCTATGATCATGGTTTGGCTAAAGGAACAAGACAGGGCATTGGCTGTCAGGTGGCCTGGAGTCTTTCTGTATGAAGTTTGCATAGTCTCCCTGTGCATGTGTTGGTTCTGTCTGGGTACTCCGGTTTCCTCTCACAATCCAAAAATATTAGGTAAATTGGCTTCTCTTAATTCTCCTTAGGTGTGAGTGTGTGCATGGTTGTGTGTCTCTGTGTTGGCCTGCGACAGGGGTGGGTGGATGGGTGGGTAGGTGGAAGGAAGGAAGGAAGGAAGGAAGGAAGGAAGGAAGGAAGGAAGGAAGGAAGGAAGGAAGGAAGGAAGGAAGGAAGGAAGGAAGGAAGGAAGGAACGAAGGAAGGAAGAAGAAAGAAAGAAAGAAAGAAAGAAAGAAAGAAAGAAAGAAAGAAAGAAAGAAAGAAAGAAAGAAAGAAAGAAAGAAAGAAAGAAAGAAAGAAAGAAAGAAAGAAAGAAAGAAAGAAAGAAAGAAAGAAAGAAAGAAAGAAAGAAAGAGCCTCTAAGGCAGAGTTCCATAGCCTAAAAAAGAATAAAAGGCCCATCTCACATTTCCTGCAATAACATCTTGTGGATTTTTAGAATGATCTTTATTTTGCCTCTTCCAGTCTATTTGGCCATCAGTTAGTGATCTTC